TCAGTGGGATTCCCTGGACGACCGCGTAAGAGTTACGACCCTGTCAAAGTAGACACGGGAAGAACGACTCACCCCTGAGCTTCGCGCGAGAGAGAGGCGTCGGAGAATGTCGCACTCATCAAGACGAGTCACGGACAAACAAGGGAAGGTGGAGAGAACCCCCGAATTTTGAGGTTGCTTTGAGAGCGAGTGAACCAGCCGATACGCAGTGTCGATCCTCGGGAATACAAAGACCAGGAGCAAGTGATCTGTGGTTTTACAAGGGAAAGAGTGGGAAAGGAAGGGAAGGAACGGGTCTTTGGACCGACAGAAATCCAGTGGTCAGCGAAGATAAGGAGCGAAGAGAAACCCTGGACGAGTCACGATGTCGTCGGAGAGGGGTGGCAGCTGTAGTGGGGTAATGGGATTTTTTTTTCCGTTTCCTCAGCCTTCAACCATGGACGAGCAGACAAATGAAGGACGTTGGAGAATAGAGAGAGTGAGGTTGGTTGAAGGACGGATGAGGTTGAAGACGAAAACGGAGTGGTGTCGTCAGTTTGCAAGCGGAAAGAGCCAACCGAGCGCGGTTCCAGACAAAAACCTTAAGCGGCTCTCTCTCTTGATGGTATAACGGCGCCCCGAGAACTGTCGATATGCCGACCGAAATTGGACGCGCGAGAATTTCGCAGTAAATTGGGGGGAGGGAAAAAATTCATTCAAATTCAGAAAAAAATTCAAAAAAATCAATTGGATCACAGCCTTCCAACTCTCTCAGTTGTGAACAAATCAGAGTCGAGAATCCCACAAAAAAGGAAAAAATCGACGAACCCCGTGGGATTCAGCTGGTTTTGTTTAAAAGAAATCCGAAAAAAAGGAGAAAAAAAAGGGAAATGCAAAGATACCCAGATATTCTACCACCGTAGCAATATCTTCCAAGGGAAAAGACCTGAGAAGACCGGAGGTGATAAAGTCCAAGTGTGACTGCCTGCCTGGAGGGGAAAGGAAAAACCAAAAGAAGAAATGGAAAAAGAAAAAGAATAAAAAAAAGAATCGAAAAAGAAAAAGAAAAGAAAAAAGAAAAAAACAATTTAGCCCGGAGAAGGCAGAAAAGTGGAAATAGAATTCAGCCAACCCACGGTTGGGCGAATGGCGATCCGGATGCGTAGTAAACCGCTGCCTCTCTTCTCGTTCTCGTTGGTCCGACAGAGAAACGGCGAACCGCTAGTCCGTTAGTCCGCGTCTGGGTTCTTTATGATCGTACAAAAAACCCACAAGGTTGGCGCCGGATATGCAGGTGATCAGACCCGGTTTTCTTGTCCGCCGTAAAGGTGTTGGTCTAAACGCCAGGTGGACTCGGGCCCTGGTCCGGCGTCTAAGCATTCCAGTCAAAAGTGGAGATATGCACGATCAAGCCGCATCGCCTATGTCCGGGGATTGCTGCTGCGTCTCCACTCGATCTCAGTCCTGGAATCATTAGCCATGTTCGAATAATATCAGGACACCTTTCGAAGCCCACGAACTGCCCCAGCTCGGATATCGCTGCCGCTTGTCAACGAAGGTTCTAACCATGGTTGGGCAGCCTTTCTTATGTCATCCCGAACCAAAGAATGTCAGGCCCTAGACCTCCCACAAATCGCTTGGACACCCCCCTAAACAAACAAAAAAAATGGAAGAGACCATACCTTTTTTCGTGCCCTGAATGCTCCTTTCCGTGAGAAATCCAATACTCGAAGATCGCGCGTGAATTCTTTGGTGTTGTGCGTGGATCACTGGTCCCTGGAAGACGCGAAGGGGCTCAGGGTGAAAGGAGTCAGTCCGCGCGCGTTCGACGACTCAGGTCCGGCACAGTCACAAATTGCGCAAATGATCGAGATCCCAGTCACAATAGCGTGTGGCACGTCGTAAACCCCGAGAGCGACGGTCGAACACTGGTCGAACACCTTATTCCGATCCGAGACGAAGCGACACATGCCGAGTCATGATGCAGTGGAAAGCGAGGAGAGAGAGTTGAGTCGAGGAGCGAAAAGGAAGAACCACGAGGCAGCGCCGGAGCAAGACTGGGACAAGACGTTTTAAGGGGGCAACAACGGATCACCGCACAGGGCTTGCCCCGTGATGCGTCACATTTCCTGACAGGCCCAAGATCTCATGTCTCATGCAAGCTACTGTATGTCGACTGCAGTTGGGGGCGTAGACGCTGGTTGGTTCCGGAAATCCCTCGGTCGAGCTATAGGCCGGGGCAGCGCATCAGCCAATGCAAAAACACACCGAAAACTGGGTTGCAGTCTTGTGGCTTGCGGCTTGCGACTTGCAGCTTGCAGATCGCGTGTTTGCGTGATAAAAATAAACCGGTACTTTCTAGTATGGACTACGGTGCTCTGCGCCACACTCGCTGACCCTCGATTTGCGGCTGAGGATGTACGGTACTTTTCCCCCTCTTCAGACATCTTCCAGGTGAGTTTGGCATCGGTAATGCACAAGTGGATCCCAGATCCTAAGGCATTAGTTGCTGTATCTTGCCGAGAACTTGCATTCCACACTCTCATACCGGACCGCTTCTTCCTTATCCTTTTCTCAGCATATGCAAAAAAAAAAATCTCAAATCCTAGCTTGCATGCAGATATTCTCGAGTCCTGGGAGTGGCATCACGGCGCTTGCCAGCATGTGATACGGAGAGCTGCAGGTGCAGTTGGCCATGACAACCATTCCTGTCACAGTCCACCTATCTCCGCATCATCCGAGCTCTGATAGCAACGATCATATGTAAGGGTGAGAACAGCAAGACTCAATTCGATCAGAGGGCGCCGATCAGCTCGACAAAAGTCCGGCCCCAACATTGAATCATGCAGCCAGCGTGAGATCGTTATTAGCGAGTCACTTGACTGGAGCAGATGGGACCCGCTGTGGGGGTTTCCGACAGCACTCAGCTCCCGAGAACAGCGTCTGCGATTCGCTTAACTGATAGTTCCCACGGACAAAAAGGGGGAAGTCGAATAAGGAGGGGGTAAAAAAGTAAAATGAGGGGTGGAAAGGCGGGAAAACACGCCCAGGGTACCGGCATTGTTTGCTCTGGCTGGGGTTGAACTGTTGGTTCTTATGCATTGCCTTACACCCCGGCGACAAGTTCCTGGGAATGCAGTCGATAGGCCCGAAAAAAAACTCGCAGCCCTAGATGCATATCATGATGCGACAAGCAAGCCGCGCTGGGAGCACGACCTGTCACTTCCTTTTGACTTCCGGGATTCGGCTCCGGGGCCAGGACAGAAGTCCCAACTCTCGATCTCGGTCATGGCGGGGAAAGCCACCATTTCATCTGCTGCAGAGACATGATTCAGGTGAAAACCAGCATGACTCATCAAGACCGATAGGAATAATTGGGCGAAGGGTTGGCCGTGACATTGGTGCTAACAAGTCGGGAAACACGAAGAGAGAAAAGAGAAAAGAAAGAAAAGAAAGTTCGAGTGCGAAAAAGCGAAAAAAATTAAAAAAGTGACCGCCAAAAAGGAAGCGAATTTTTCGATTTTTTTTCCTTTTCCCAATTTAAAAGTACAGCGCACACCCTGACCCAAATCCACAGCGGCCCCGACTGAAAAAAAAACCCCCCGGGAATTTGTCAGTGTCGGGATCCAAGCTAGTTAACTTACAGACTCCGGTTAATAAAAGGACGAAAAGAAGCTCAAAACGGGACCCGTGGAGATCCAATCCACAAAAAAGACCAAGTAGCAACGAACCCCTGTTCGGTACTTCAACAACACGAGGTACGGAGTGTGCCGTGAGGGAAAGGGAAGAAGGGAGGGGGGGGGTGCCGCGATGGAGCACTAACCAACCAACTACAACATACATACGGAGTACTCAAGACGGTAACTGTACGGAGACGGGAGAAGGGGAAAAATTCCAGATTCACGCAGACAGACGAAGAACCTCACAGTGAACAGGTAATATATCTGACAGCGGCATTCTCCATTGGGATCCAGTGGTTAGGCGCTACTGTGTTTATGCTTAAATGTTGGCCCTGCGATGGTTCCGTGGTGGTTGGGCGGTGGTTCCATGGTTGTGTTCCCTCCCTGACAGCTGTCCGGTCCGTGTTGGCGCCGTGGCCGCCGATCTTTTGTCGATCGGTGCTTTGTCGGGACTATACTTATTACTTACTATATTATTGCACTGAGATAGTTATCTTGTATTCCTCTTTATCTTTTGAATATATCCTTCAAGATGCTACTACTAGTAGTTAATTGGTTATTACCTGCGCTCTGTATTGGTCCCACCGTTCACCGGTATGGCCTGAAATCCTCCCGTGGTGGGATACTCGATAACTAGATTCTGCAGTGTAACCACGCCGGGAACCCGCACATCAGCCACAGCGTTATGCCTCGTCCCTCGTATATAGAGGGGGTCTGGGACTACATACAATTGGCTACAAGATATTATCGAGGCTATCAAAAATATTTTGTTAATCTTCTTCCTCCAATTTCGGCATTTACTACAGGTCCTTCCTATTCGAAAATTTTCAACCAGCATTCCTGCGACAGGACTCTTATTCTTGGATATATCATGTGCCAGGCACATCTACTCCGTATGTACACTAGAGCAAAGAGCTACCCAGTATTTGATACATTGACATGAGACATGCTAATCACACACTGTACTCATTCATCGCAGCTAGATAGAAAGTAGAAAAGAAACACCCAAGCAAAAAAACTCCAGACACCCTGCTCCGTGCTGGATGAAATCCCTCGAAAATGGACTAGTAAATGAGCCAGAGAGGACCGAAGAGTGCCGCATGACACTCATTTCGTCCCCGGACACCCACTTAACATAACGTAGCCTTTGAACAAGAAAAGAAATGGAGGAAAAAAAATATTAAATCGAACGGTAGGACAATGCAGTTCCCGGAAACACGTGAAAAAAAAAGAGAAGGGAGAAATAAGGGAATCGGAAATTTCGTTAGAACAAACGCCCTATCCACATGCGTAACTTGCTTTGCAGGCAAAAAAAACCACGAATCGTCAGCTTCAAGATTATCATGTCTGCATCACGACATCCCCATCCACTTCGTACTCGGCGTCAATATCTGCTTCTGCATCTGCGTCTGAATCTGCGTCGGTGCCATTGGTAGTGGGCATGGCCTTTTGGCCCTCACCTTTGGAAGCAGACTCTAGCTCGGCGGGAACCATAACGTGGATTTTCTCGACCAAAGCCTTCCGGACTGATCGCGGTGTCTTGGGGTTATCGCTGGATCGGCGGGAGACTGCTGTTCCAGGCGACCGCGAGATGGAGTTAGTTTTCTCGGGGGTACTAGGTGCTTCCGTATCGTCATTGGACGGCTCGGTAGCATCAATGCCATTCGTCTTGACAGGTTCCTTGGGAGCAGCATTTCCATTAACATGCTCCGGTTCTTTTTCGGTACCTTCTTCGAGTACAGGAGCCGTGTCCTTGGCATTCTCATCAACGACAGTTTCTTCCTCGACAACTCCGCTCTGTTCCGTTCCATGACCATTCGCCTGGGTAGATGTTGCTTCAGCTGCGGGAGAGTCCGTGAGAATAGAGCTTCTCCCACGACGAGTGCTGCCTCCGGGGGTGACCATTGCCAGCCCGGAGGGTCGCCGAGGTGTGCCGCGACCGCCATTACGGGCAGCCGTGGGTGTCATTGACATGCTATTGATTTTGGTGCTACCAGATGGGCGGCCAGGTCTGCGTTTAGGGGGTGCTGCAGGAGGCACAGGAGGCCAAAGTTCGAACCGGGAGGGTGGGATTCCAGCGGCGGGGTTGGGGATTGCAGGTGGTTCGGGGTTGAACGCAGAATGGTGGGAGCCATTAGCATTAGGCCGCAAAGCCAATGTGGAAGGCGGTCCAGCGGAGTTTGCGAGAGTGTTTCCAACCGACGCATTCATCATTCGAATATTGCGCTCATAGTCGGTCGCTCTTGCCTCGGTCTCATCTTCATCTTCGTCCGGGTCCTCTCGAGGGGCGACGGTATGAATGGGAGCACGATCGAAATGAGACTGATTACTACGACCCATAATGTAAGGTGTCCAGAGCAGCGCATCTGGATTGAGCTGGACGTAGCCCTTGTTTTCCCAGCCACTGATGACCTCGTTGTAATATTTGTGATCGAGACGGATGGCGTACGTCTTGGTGATGGGATCCCGCACGAGAGCTCGAAGTCCCTCCAGGGCGGATACGATATCATCTGCCGTCATTCCTGTGCGATCAGACAGATCTGCAATGCTGACAGGCGTCTTCAAATCACGAAGTTGGTATGACAAAATCAATCGCCAATAGTTTCGGTACGACACCAGACCCATGTCGGAGAGAGGCTTCTCGGGCGATCCATTTTTGCCTTCGATGCGAGTAAGGAGGTATGAGAAGTCGATAAGGAGGTTTCCGTAGCCTTTGCGTTGATGGATAGGCAGAGTAAGAATGCAGGAAACGTTATTCGCTGAGCTTGGACGTTTTTCTTTACTGAAGTAGCCAACGAAATGGCAGCCCAAATCGTCATACTCAGTCATGACATAGAATAAGAATGGCTCAACGTCGTAGTAAAGAGTCTTGGAGCCTAGGAAAAGTTTCGCAAGAAGGCACAGATTTTGACAGTACACTGGGTTCTTGCGCCCATCAACTTCGAAGATTGAGATCGATTGATCTCGATAAATCTCATCACCGGGGGGGTGCTTCGCAGGACACTTAAGTTTATGGCGCCAGGCGACGAAGTCCGAGTTCATGTACTTGAGACAGAACTCGCAAATGTACAGAACACGGTTACGGCTGTATTCCTCCGGGTAAGGCGCTGCATACCAGGTTTCGATTTCATAGCCACCAAAGTTGATAGACTTGATCTTGGAAGGAGGACCGGAAACCTTTTGTGATGCATGTGCTGTGGCCTCGCCGCTGAGTTCTGCTTCCTTCACTTTCTGTTGCCATTCATCTTCGGCTTTCAGACGCGCCTGTTCGAATCTGTCGCGATCGAATTGTGTGGGAAGTGTCCTGGATGTATCTTGTTCGCTTTCAGACAGTATGCCTCCGTATGGTTTTGATTTGGCGTCGTCTGTCTCACGGTCAAACAGAGTCATGGAGTTATAGGATATTGGGGGAAGGGGAACGAAATGTGCCTGGGGTTCTGGGGCCACAGGTGGCGGCTTTGGTGCTCTCTTCTTCTTGCGTTGCGGTCGGATTTGAGTGCCTGTTATTTTGGACATTTTTGCCTCGTCCAGCCGGAACCCAATAATCAATTTTCCAAACTGCCTAGTTACCACGCGGCAGTGCTCTCGGTCCACTGCGCGAGTTCGTCTCACGCGTACAGAACGTGTCCGAGCAGGAGATTGGACATCACCATCAGCAATCGCATCCCCCTCCAAGGCCGCATCATTCAAAATTGGGTTATCGGAGCGGAAAGATGTTTGTCGAAGTCTCTTTCGAAGCACAGGTATGTGTTCTTCGGCCTCGATTGATGAGGCCTTTCGCTTTCGAAGCGATCGCGAGCTATTGAGCATCTCGTCGTCAACGCCTGTGTTGAAGATAGAATGGAATCCCTCGTCGTGTGTGCCAGCGTGCGCAGGCAGAAGCTCTTTGGGAAGGGCCGAGGCTCCGAGTGTGGTTTCTGTCGTTGTATTTATTATCGGGTCAGGCTCTAAATTGTTTTGAACACAGCTGGGACACCTCCACGGGCCTGTGTTGATGTTAGTGCGTGTAAAACATCGGAGCGGGATAAAGCAGAGATCGAAGAGCATGTGTTTTGCGTACCATCCGTTTCATCAAATGCTTCTTGTTCCCGAGCGCATTGCCGATGGGCTGTTGGGGTATCGAGTCAGTGATGATTCAAAATAAACAGGTAAAGGGCAGGGCAAGCAGCGTAACGTACAGTGATCACCACAAACAACACAAGTGAGCCATTCCTCAAAATCTTCGCTTGGATCGTGTTCCTCGTCTTGACTGCAAACCCTATTGGTCCGTTAGTACATCTGATTATGCGCCCAGTGCGGCGAGTCCTTCCACTTACAAGCAGTTTGAACCACTGCGAATATCAGTCTCGACGTCCTCGCGACCATTGCTCTCAGCTTCCCAGTCTTCGGCTTCTGATTCGTGGTCGCTTGATTCTGGTTCTGACGCGTCACGTTCATTTGCCTCAAACCCGGGGTCGGCATCTGCATCGGCTGTCTCAGACTCCGCATAGTCTTCTTCAGAACCCGCGTCATCGTCGGGTAGCTTGACAGCTCCAACAGGTTCAGCCCCATCATTGTCATCATCATCTTCCCCGTTCAACTTGATGCTGCCGTTCTTTCCATCCGCAGTTTCATCCGGGCCATCCTCATCAACTTCTCCAGTGTATGCTCGGTGGACGGCATCTTGAAGCCGTTGATCCATTTCATACAAGTCAGTCTCTTCTTCTCCCTCCGCATCTAGATCGCTATCGGCCGGGTCCACAGGCGGGTCAAGTTTGCCCGATTCATCGTTCGCTGGCGGCACCGTCGCCGCCATAGTGAAAGTTACCGCCACCGCCAGGTTGAGCACAGTAGTGCTTATTGTATGCGCTGAGGCTAACTGGGGTATATTTTTTGTGAAAGAAGCTTAGACTGATCGAAGCACCCCGCTGACGTCGGCGCTGATCCGGGGGTGCATCTGGATCAAAAGCGGGTTCGAGGCTGGCTAGAGTGGTACCGAAGATATTTGCGAACACAAGTATCGATCGGGATTGACGCTTAAAGTTTTCAGGCGCAAAGTTGAAGCTAAACAAACAAGAGGTGTCAGTCTGCGGCTGGAGTGGCTAGGCATCGCAAGCGCGTCGCAAAACAGAGAAAACTTACCCCAAAAGAAACCAGTGCAATATTTGATTTAAAAGCGTACCAGACGCGTCAACTGGCAGTCCATACACCGGGGCCTGTCTCTTTTACAATCGAATGCGATTTGCAGCGGCCTTCACGCCCCTTGTCCTGTGAGTGTCGTTGCAACGTGCTGAGTCAGCCCAGGCTAAACCACTTCGGGCGGGGGAGACCTCAAGCCCGTCGCTGTAGGAAGAGACGCTCCCCTCCACACTCTCCGCGATCGATCTACTCTCCTCAGTCCGTGAGAGGCTTTGTGACTCCTGATTCTATTTTGATAGCTCTTTCCGATTATCTACATACCCATACAACCGCACACCATGGGTGTCCCTTTTGAGGCTCTGATTCCCTATGGGATTATCATGACCGTACGTACCATTGGTCAATGCCTGCCGAGACTATAGCTCACCAATCGCTACAGATGTTTGGTGTGACTGGCTACGGTCTCCACTATGTCAAGCGTTTTGCCAACGATGGCAAGAAGGCGCGCTGGAACCGGGACCTGTGGGATAGAGTAAGTGTTTCATTCTCGTCGGCTGCGGTCGGGACTTAGAGGCACATTAGCTAACAATTTCACAGCAAAGTGAGTGATTATGAGACTATCGGCCGACCCAAAAGCGCCTAGGAAAATCATATGAGACTAATAGCAACCAACAATAGTGATGGAGAGAGACCTGCGCATCACAGGCTCATTCCGTGGGCAGTCCAGCAACCACCAAGCACCCACTGGATTTGAAGTCAGCAACCCTTGGAAGGTACGAATAACAGATCCCCTGTCCCTTTGGTTCCAAACTCCGTGCAGAAACGCTGACCCGAGACATAGATCGAGAATCGGATCTACTAGTTTCAAAATGCAACCTCTTTTCCTTTACGTTCAATGTCTGCGCCTTCCTTACCCCATGATCATACATATCCACTGCAATTTCTCTAGAAACGTCGTTGTACCATATCATTTGTTCTCTTGGGTTTCCTAGTAGTCCGCTCAGTCTACTTGAGCTCCGAGGTCATTCCCCGAATACCTTGGATCTCACTCTCACGGAGATGCATATCGAAATACTTGGCCAGTGCCTCGACGCGGTCCTCTTCGGTCTCCAGCACCTGCAAGATCTCCGTTTGCCCGCGCAATCTCATCTTGACTTCTTTACCCGACATGATGCACTGACCTACGATCTCTGTGCCGCTTGGGCCCAAAAGCATTCGCATGCAGACAAAGATCTGGGTGAACCAGCTTGTTCGGCTCTGGCTGGATTCGAAGTTCATGACGCTGAAATCCTGTGGTAGAAACTCCATATCGGAAAAGCAGATCTGTGGCAACCACTTGCTCTCAGGGTTGTATCTTGTTTGGTAAATCCAGATCTTTTGGCTAGAGTTTGTGAACTCAGCAATGCTTTCTCTGACAATACGCATCTCAGATGGTGCGATAGCCGTAGCAGTAGCACCTTCTTGAAGTAATAGTGGAGCAGTGGCACAATTGTTTCCAAAGCCGACATCAACCTATCCATATCCGTTAGCATAGTTCATACACTACAGTAGACCTTCATACCATACCATGTACTTCTCCCCTGCGATGATCACAATCAGAACCATATGTCCACTTCGGATCAATAGTGTCAGCTCTACTGGGAATACTCGGAATGCTAAACCGTCGGAGAACTTACAATGGCAGATATAATCCATCATCCACTCCCTTCGCCGCCGCATGACTGACTCTACCTCCAGTGGCGTAAACAAGATACCCCAGGGACCGCAAGACAATAAAGAAGATCCCGGTGTTCTCCATGCAATATCCATCCAGCCGGCGCTCCACCATCTTCTCAAAGAGACATTCCGGGTTCAGAGATATAGTATGATGCTGCGAGTAATGCAGCGCTGAATTGCCCCATGGGATGGCAGTGAGATGTCGCCTTTGCAGCTCACCCAGCGCAGAAAGTGCGTCATTCTCGATATCCTGGCGGAGATGTTGAAGAAGATTGCCCTCGGATTGGGCGGAATGGGAGTATCTGATTCGGTTCAAGTATAACTCCAGCTGTTGATCGGTATACGTGGGTTTTTGTGCCATTGATGGGGTTCCTTGTTGGAATTTGTGTGTTAAAGAGATATAGGAACTGTCTCTGGCCATTGAGAGTCGGAATTATTCGATTCTCTCTCTCGAGGACTAGTTATGTATGTCATTGGTATTTTGATGACCAATAGTCTTTCCCCCACACTTTCCCGCACATCATTGCCTCCACGCGCAGCTTATATAGTGTCTGGCTGGGTTTGTGCATAATTCATTTTGTAGGTGCCTACATACACTTTTCAGTGTTATCCGCCTAGTCAATCTGTATAGCTTAGAATAGTGTATATAGAAAAAGATGACAAGGCACATTCTATACAAATGAACAGACATAAACGACATAACTATGGATATGCATGAATAATTCCAACAAATATCGCAATGGAAACCCGAGACCCTGTAGTTACAGTACTAATAAATCTAATTTTGTTCTGTTTCTGTACATATGACATGTATATTGTTCCTTGATACCCCATGTTTCCTGCAGGTTACTGTTATCAATCACCTCGGCTATGACCGCCGCTTGTGAAGAACATAATTATCCAGACATAATTGATCAATTTGTATATAAGATATAGAAAATAGAGAATTTGATTGTTACTGCTCTCTCAATATCTCAAGACTAAGCAATACATAGGCTTGTGAAACGTACCTTTACACGCTCCGAGTATAAATCTCCGATGATGTAGTATTCATCCGATATCCGGACCTACGGACATGTGGTTCGATCAGCGAATATGAACCTTTAGCTCATCACATTTCTCTATTACTTCTTGTCTAACCTCTGCTTTGTACAGTCTAACGTCTATACATATTCCAAACAAATTCCCCTTCCTACTGTGAACCCCGCATCTGAACAAAATGGCTACGCTAAACGAGCAACTTGCGACATTGACTGAGAACTACTCGCCCTGCGATGTATGCCAGCGTTTCTTTCCATAAATCGTCAGGCGATGCATCTAACATCCTAATTTCCCAGGTATCAGACGCCCTCATCAAGCTGCAAAAGACACCCGAGGGCAGCACAGCACGAGCAGGCTACCTCGCAGATCTAGGTAAGCCATCGGCAAAGCCTCTAACTATATCTCCAATAACCCCACTTACATCTATCAACCAGTGCCATTCTCGCCCACGACAGGGCGGAATGAAACAATGCCCAAGATTGCGGCTCCGGCCACAACATTCAAATTTCTGGCCAAAGACGCCAGCCCGCCAGCAATCGCAACTGAAAATCCCCAGAAGCACGGCTTCCCGCCGGGTAAGCACTGGGTAGATCACGTCGGCGCATTTCAAGATTCGGATCCCTCCGGTGCCGGATCTATCGTTGTCATCGAGCAGCCTGAGGGCCAGTACTGCGCTGTGACGGGCGGGATCATGGCGACCCGGATGAAAGCCCTCGGGATCAAAGCCACGGTTGTGGGTGGCCGTATCAGAGATTTGAGGGAATTGAAAGCCACTGGACTTCCGGTTTGTCGTTGATCTCCCATAGGTTTGTTGGTAGCGTTACTGATTGATTTTCGCATGGTGGTAGATCTGGGCTCATGCTACTTCTACTGTTGGCACCAATGCCGAGGCCAAGGCTGGTGCTCGTGATGTGCCCATCTCAATTGGGGGTGTTACTGTTTCTCCTGTGAGTTCTAGTTCCTGTGTGCTATTCGATTGCTTGATGATAGAGTGCAGGATCTAATCATTAGAACGCATTTAGGGAGATATCATCTTCTGTGACCCCTTGGAAGGAGTTGTGGCTATTCCTCGCGAGCTGCTCGGGCATGTGCTCGAGCTCATGCCTAAACTCACTACCATGGATGAGAAGGCCATTGAGGCCGTTGCGCAGGGAATGAGCGTCACTGATGCTTTTAAGCAATTCCGCTGATAGCCTACTTTCAGCCAAATGTATATACATACAACGTTAGGCTACGGCAGTCTCTATGTATATTTTTGGTAGTCGCTTTGTAGCTTTTTCAAATATCTCTTCACGTATCTTTTCGGATGTATATAAAGGCAAAAGCATAAACCGTATAGAGGACTTTCCGAGTATAACCTCTGAATTGACGTGAGATTGATTTATTCAGGTGCAAGCCATACTGCAGGCAAGATCTGATATGGCTTACTGACGGCTAAAGACTGCCGTAGGTATTGAACCAGTAAGGAATCTACAGCGATATTATTACCAAATGTATAGCATATATGCTGGTCCAATCTTTTGGTATTCGAAGTATACAATACATAACGAGAAATCTGTGTATCCGAAAAAGAAAAAAAGGGCTAAAAGCCAAATCGCTGTGCAAATATACAACCGAAACTCAAGTTTTGCTTACTCCGACACCCAGACGGCGGCCATACCCATACCGGTACCGATGCACATGCTGGTGACACCGATCTTCCGGTTTGTGCGCTTGAGCTCAGTAAGCAATGTGCTGACCTGGCGAGCACCAGTGCAGCCAAGAGGATGGCCGAAAGCAATAGCACCACCCTTGGGGTTAATCTTCTCAGAAGGAATGCCGAGCTCATTAATACACCAGACACACTGGGAAGCGAAGGCCTCGTTGATCTCGTAAATGTCGACATCATCCTTGGTGATGCCGGCCTTCTCCAGTGCAATGGGGATAGCCGCCCAGGGGCCGATTCCCATGAGCAGGGGCTTGACGCCGACGACGCTGGCAGCGACGTACTTGCCGATGATCTTCTGGCCCAGACGCTCGGCGGTGGACCGCTTCATAAGGAGGACGGCGGCAGCACCGTCGGAGATCTGGGAGGCATTACCAGCGTGGATGGAGCCGTCCTTGGAAAAGGCGGGCTTGATCTTGCCCAATGACTCGGCGGTGATACCCTCGCGGACGCCGTCGTCGGCCTTCACGGTAATGGTCTTCTCCTCGCCAGTCTTGGGGTCGGTCCACTTCACGTCCAGGGGCGCGATCTCCTCGTTGAAGAGACCAGCCTTCTGGGCGGCAAGGGCCTTTTGGTATGAGTGGGCGGCGAAAGCGTCTTGGGAAGCGCGGGTGACGCCACGGTCCTTGGCCATGTTCTCGGACAGGACACCCATGGGGACCTTGCAGTTTGCGGCCTCGGGGTGGCTCTCGAGGAGGTCGGAGAACTCGGTCACGGCACCCGGTCTGTGTCAACTTGTTAGCCATAGTATCGAATGATGGAATGCCAGGGCTTGAAGCATACCCGTACTGAGAGGACATGCTCTCAACACCGGCACCAATGCCGACATCGATCATACCAGCCTGAATGGCGTTGGCAATATCAGCGATAGCCTGGAGACCGCTAGAGCATTGACGGTTCAAGCTCTTCACGGCGGTGCTCGCGGGGAAGCCGGCCACGAGAGCGGCAGCACGGAACTCGGTAGCACCACCACCGGGGGCGAGGACGGAGCCCACAGCAATGTCCTGAACGACGCTAGGGTCAACGCCGCTCTTGTTCAGAAGAGCCTTGAAGACACCGGCAAGCAGATCAGCACCAGCGGTATCCTTGAAGCCACCCTTACCACCCTTGGTGAAGGCGGTGCGGAGGGCACATGTCACGACAATGTCATCGGGGTGCTTCTCGATGATAGCGGCGGCTCCCTTCTTGCCGCCAGGGCCGAAGTGGGAGGAAACCTGGTTCAGACGTTGCTGGGCTATAGATAGAAGTTAGCTTGCTGATTTTATTTCGATTATAACTTGGAACAAGCCACTAGGCACAAAGTATTCTGTTGAATACATGCCCATGGCTGTTACATCCACAGCACTTACCGTTAGACATGACTTCAGTCTGTTATGGAGGTATGGGAGAGGTATGAGGATTAAAAATAGGGCGAAAGCGAGGATAATAAATCCAAATATCCGGGGAAGCCTTGATTTATAAATCAGGCCCGTGGAGTCGGTGGTATTTCCCCTTTGGACGACTGCCGTTACTGGCCGTTGTCGCATTCTGGGAAAGTGCCGAGGTCCATTTGGCCGCATCATTGTTGATCCGTGGCAGTCACGGGATCTCCGACTGGTGGATCGTGGGGCATGTGAAATCAGATATCACATGCGAAGGTTTTGCGACGTCATGGTAAGTAGATCGGCCCGACATAAAATGGTGCATAATATCGATATTTTTCAGGTGTTGTTTGCACAAAAATTATTTCTCTATTGGTATCTCACTTTGAATACCGAGTATAACGATATGTATCCACAATTAACTCGGAATGGCAAGGTTAATGATTTTTAACATTTTTGTCCTCATATATCAAGAAAGGAAAGTTTATTCTAATCACATCCCCTGATAGCTCAGCTGGAAGAGCGCAAGACTGTAATTTTCCTGTTCTGCAAAGAACCTGTCATCTTGAGGTCCCTGGTTCGATCCCGGGTCAGGGGATTTTTTTTGTATTTTTGTGCTACCCACAAAATTTGCCTCTCTGGTGTGATTCCTCCCTAACACTACTCCGATCCAACACAATGACCGCAAATTCCTATACGGTCGCGGATATCAATCTGTTGTCTGAATTCCTCAGCGACAATCAAGTACAAAATCTCTCCACCATATCCCCTGTCGACTGCATTGTCATATGCGCCTCAGCCGTTCTCCACAGTGCCGAGGTTCTTTTCAAGGTTCTTCAGCAAAGACCACCATCTCTTACCAAAGCTCTCGTACTGTGCGGGGGCATCGGGCACTCGACCAAGCTCCTTTACGATGCAGTGAAATCTCATCCCGCCTTTTCGCGGATTGCCGATGAGATCCAAGGTCTCCCTGAGGCCAAAGTCCTCGAACGAATTCTAGACGAGTTCTTCGATCGATCTCTCATTACCAAGGAAGGATGTCAGATTCTCCTTGAACCCCTATCAACAAATTGTGGACAGAATGCTTCATTTTCTCGCAAAGTCCTCGATGAAGCGGGCTTTCGGGCACCAGCCACTTGCATTATCATTCAAGACCCCACGATGATGCTCAGGACCAGGGCATCGTTTGAGAAGACTTATGAAGGTGCCCAACCTCCAGTCTCAGTTATTAGTTGTCCGGTATTTGTGCCGCAGGTGCAATTGTCTCGTGGCGGAGTCATTGAGTATTCAGACATGTCGCCGCCGTCAGAGTTGTGGTCGCAAAGTCGTTTTTTGGAGCTGATCATGGGCGAGATACCCAGGTTGAGGGATGATAAAGATGGTTATGGTCCTCGGGGACGTGGTTTCATTGCTCATGTGGATGTTCCAAGCCATATTGAAGCAGCTTGGGCTCGACTACAAGTGGTGGCTAAAAGCTCTAGATAGGGATGTAGAGATATATATTGCGAATAACACAGACGGACATGTGTTGTACCTTAAAACTACAAAAATAGTCGGCCGCGTTTGTGGCCTCTGTCATTGAGAACGACATGATTTAGCTAGCTCGATGGTAGGAACTTATAACCTTTGACATGTGTACTGCGATAGAATAAGAACCGAGGCATCATTATGGAGATCCCGTGCATACATATACCTGCAATGCAAGTACGGCCCACAACCCCACTACAATATATGTACTGTACACCGTGGAAGTCTTGAGTCTAGAGTGAACTTCTTGACTGTTTCAAAGGATTAAAAAAGAAAACACTCAGAAATATTGGAAAGATATAAAAAATAATCCCCTGACCCGGGATCGAACCAGGGACCTCAAGATAACAAGTTCCTTTCACAGAACGGGCAATTACAGTCTTGCGCTCTTCCAGCTGAGCTATCAGGGGATGTGATTGGTTGATTAGCATATTTGAGCATTATGAACCAAAGCCATCCGACCTGGCTTATACCCGAGTTGTCCACTTTAACTTAATTACAACCTTGGAAGACTCAATTACTTGTCGAAAATAAAGCTATACCCACTCATTGGTCAAGGTCGGTGTATCTAGATAAGCTGGCGGCAAAATACCCTCCAAATCAGCTTTGAGTTGAAGCGCCAATGTCCTCGAGTGCCACCGGTGTTGCTGTGTATAGCCACCCATCACCCAAAAGCCATGAAGGCGTGACTGCCTCTTCCATAAGCCACGTATCTCGCCCTCGGAATCAACACCCCATGTGGCGTCGATGCGAGCAGCAATCTGGCGAGGCCCAAGCTTCTGCTTACTATCGGCCTCGCCGTCCACGCTATTCTTGTCATCCTCGGCACCGTTGGGAGCCTGACCTGGAGAGCCTCCTAGGATCTCAGCGGCAGTTTCGCGCACGTTTTTATCAACAAATCCCGTACACCAGATGACAGCATCCGCCTCAACATGGCTGCCATCCGAGAACCGCAGGCCAGTCGCCGTGTATGCAACAGGCTCAACATTAGCTTTGATACCAGCCTTGCCTTCTTCCAACAGCTTGGTACCGCCCACATCGACATAGTGTCCACCAGCACGCTCGATTAAATTTTGCATCAAAGCACATTCTGGGTTATTGCTGTCTAGGACGGGGAATCCAGCTGCTGCCAGAGCTTTGTAGCGATCTGGCTCCTGTGATGCGAAATGCGAAAACAAGTTGCGGGCGAATTGGGCATCTATGACTGTCGGGATTGTCATAAAACAGTTATCCGCGAGCTCAACGCTGGCATCATAGGCGCCTAGGCTGGCTGGGTTGTCGACGTAGTCCACTGGGACTATGTATGTTGGCGAACGCACGTTCATTGTCACTTGGAGTCCTGCAGCGTGGCAATCTTCGAGAATGTCGAAGGCTGTATTGGCGGAGCCAATGATTATGACTGACTGGAGTGGAAGTAATACGGTCAATCTCGGTTCTTTTCGCATCGGAGCTTCACCCACCTTCGCCCCTTTCTCCTTCACTTGCTCGGCATTCTTGTATTGCTCCGAATGAATGCTGGTACCTTTGTACAGGTAGGAATCTGCTATCGATGGTATATTCACTTTTTGGGATGCAATACCTGTGGCCAAGACAACGTGTTTAGATATTGCTTTACGTTGACCAGCAGGAGTCTGGAACTTGACTATCCACCGCTTAGTCGATGGATCATACTCTGTCCATTGGATCTGTGCCGAGGTGATTATGTTGAGATTGAAAGCCTTGACATATTGTCGTACCTGGGAAGCCAGATCCTCTTTCAAAAGACGATGGGGGGTAAGGAGCTTCTGGTCATAGTCTGGTTTCCAGATTTCTATCAGTCGCTCACTCGGATATCAAGGCATGAGCAACTTACCCATATAGGGCAAGTGACAGAGTGAAGTGGGGACATGGAAACGCATGCTATCATAGCGGAGAGCCCAGTTGTCCCCTGCGTGGACATTGCGCTCGGCCATGACACTCTCGACTCCCAATGCTTTAAGGCGCGCCGCAAGGGCGATAGCTCTTTATCATCCAGTGGCAGGTTAGCATGGATATTGTTCGAGGCTTTTTCGTCCTCTTACGAATTTCCACCTCCAATTATGAAGACTTCAGTCTCAAAGCTCTCAATCCCACCAAATTGTCTTCCGAGAGAATGAAGCAAGGTCTCATTCTCTTTCTGTATATCCAGATCTTTGAGAATGGTGCTGAGAACCCAAATCTTCCACTCGATTATCTCGTTGGCGCCCTTGACCGGCAAGAGTATCACCCTTCCTTTGCAAGTGGCGGCCGGTGAGCTGGTTTGAAAGGCAATTCCGCAGTCAATGAATTGCTGTGCACAAAAAGTCAGCTACCATTCACCCAGCTCTATCTCCACAGGTCATGCTCACAAGAACTGGCGTCGCTTGGATAAATATGGCCCCGCCATCGACCGTTATATCTCCCTTGATGGCCCTCAGCTTGTTAGTCTCCAGAAGACTGGCAGCAATTATGCCAGGTGATTTGAATGTCCGCAGGTGGTATGTCAGTGCTAGCTGATCCCTCCAATATGCCTGGTCCTTCCAGAAGCAGTCTTCCAGCGCCCCCGCATCATTCCTAGCCAGCGCGGTGTTCAGATTATCCAATACAAGTTGAGTTTGCTTGGTTGGTTCATAATCTGCCATTGAAGCCGGATCTACCATTCCAGGGGCGAGCAGAGGAAGCGGGTTTTGAGCCATCAACTTGAGGAGGTCGATGCGCGGGGGAAACTCGTCGCGCGACAGGGACATATTGTCTGTGGATCGCACATTAGTCGTCAATACAATGCCTACGCACCAATCTTCTAATGAGAACTCACTGGCAGCCATTGTTGGATTGAAATAAATGATGTTTGCCTTGGGTGCGGTAGGAAGATTGGACGGCCCTCCCTGATCAGTCGACCTGGCGATAAGGGAAATGTCCCGCATATTGGCCGATTCGTCTATCCCGTCTTCTGCAGCCCTTAGTCGCCCGTATACGGGTTAGTGCAGCGATGGCCCGTGTTTCCTGGTGGAACACGAGGCCTTGGGGCATGGCAGAGTATGTCTCCCCCGCAACTTTGACACCAATTTCATGCCTTGGATATTACCTTTCACCCCGTCGAGGTGCCCAATTTCCTTCAAAGAATGGGCCATGGTACTTCGTCGGTTGTTAATGGGCATTGACCTACATAATAAGCAGTCTTCATACGAGTTGAAACCTCAAATATGGGGCCGTGCTTGGTGGGGGAGCCACTAACCTTTTCGTCCAAGCTTCAATTGATCGGCGGTGGTATGTCCGCTGTCATCTGTGGGAGATCATCATTTGTTTGAAGGCGCATGATTGTCTATGAATTGTTCATGATTGTTCCCTCGGGTCTTGTTGGCTTCCCATCTATTTGAATTGGTATGGTGCGCGCCATATTTTTGTTGTCTTTGGGGATTCTGCCATCCAAATGTGGGTTGTATAGATATCACTTGGCTACGAAAAGGCATCGCTCTGCTTGCTACGAGACTAAACTTCCTAATACTAAAGCGTCCGATATATTTGCCCTAGGATCTACGCTCTACAAGCTAGTTGCTGGTAAGGACCTATATAGCGAACTCTCTGGGGCTAAATCCGATGACCCGGATATGATCAAAGTTCAAATCCGAAGAAAATGTATGGTAGATCATGAGATTGAAACACTGACCATATTCCTGATGTCTCTTATTCGGAGGAGAAATCACATTAGGTTGTTGGAGAGGCGAAATTCCCACTGCCCAGGCGGCACTTGATTTTGTACTTGAAAGATTTCGTTTAATTCATACATGAATATAGAGGCAAAGGAGCGCAAAAGTCCATTACAACCATTCCATTCCAAATGCTCCATTCAATCAAACCTACCAAGCTCATGCCCGTGCAGCCCGTGCAGCCCGTGAAGCCCGTGAAGCCCGTCCAGCCCGTGCAGCCCGTGAAGCCCGTGAAGCCCGTGAAGCCCGTGAAGCCCGTGAAGCCCGTGAAGCCATGAAGCCATGAAGCCATGAACCCCCATAGAGATCCACGTACATATTCATAGCTTAGAGCTATAATTTGTATTCGTCCATATACGACAAGCAACGACTCGGCGAATATTATATTTACCGAAATGCAAGGACCAAGCAGAATGAATGGCCATAAGGGCGGAGTAAGTATGAGAAGATGCACTTGTAATAGGTGAATAGAATAGAAAGCGTAGAAGGTTTAGAATTGATTCCCAACGATAAAAGACATTGGGATGTTAGAATATGAGTTCCACCATGCTGGTCCTTGGAGCCTATATAGTATGCTTGCTATACCATGGTTTGTTCATACGGACTAGCTAGCCCGATAGCGCAGCCGTGGCCAACGGTTTCGCAGCAATAGTACGGAGTAGAGAAGTAACTATTTACCGGTGAAGTCAAATACATCGTATCAGCAGTGAGAGGATACATATCTAACAGTTCTATATATATTAGCCAACAGACCGAGGCGGGACGTGGGTTGTGACATTGAAGAGTTGGCCACGGACTATAGTCGCGGATATGAGAAGTCAGTTCTATACAATCAGACAGCTGGTTATCCGGGAAAAAAAAAAGGAACGTTGGAGAGAAACCTCGCAGAAATCAGATAGCGCATACATACTCCATACGATCTATACAAATGGAGTTTGGGAAAATAATAAAAAAAAAAATCCCCTGACCCGGGATCGAACCAGGGACCTCAAGATGACAGGTTCTTTGCAGAACAGGACAATTACAGTCTTGCGCTCTTCCAGCTGAGCTATCAGGGGAGTACATGATATAAGTGGCAGGATTGTATATTATAACCCAAAACTACCTACCAGACATCGCTCAGTGATTCACGATCCATATTCCCAAGAATCACCAGCCAATATACCTCCAACCGAGCCGAAAGCCAAACAGACAACCAAACCAAGCAGATAAATACCCATGATCCGACGCGCCCTAACCGCCGCCTCATCAGCGCGCGCATCACCCCCAAGCACATTGACAAGCGCCTCAGCCTGCAAGCTCCAACTCACCCGGCCATCATGGCACCTTGTACGCGACCCGACCCCTCGCCAAGCAGGAGCATATAATTAGAATGCCTCTCGAGCATATCTCCAAGCCCAAACCTCAAGCAAAAAACTAACAGGGAACCCGCGCCAACAGAGCCCCAGCACCACCCGCCTCTTCACCACCACCCCGTTCACAGCCTTCACAGCATCACCACCAACCAAAGACCCCTCACCCTTCCGCCTCGCCGCAAATAAACCCGACTCCTCCCCGCCCTCGTTCGAAGATGTCTATTACAGCCAGTACCAGCCAAAGCGCCAATGGCCTCCGGATATGTCCAAGCTGTCTCCGAAACACCAGTTCCGGCTTGAGCGCAAGTACCGGCGGCGCGCGGCGCTCAAGTATGCCCGGCCGAAGTTTACGAAGGCTGTTTTGTTGGGACAGTGGGTTGTTATTGGATGTGAGTTTTCTCTTGAGATGGGGTTAGGGTTGGAAATTTGTGGATTGCGAATTGCTTATACACTTGCGGTGGATAATGGGGTTGGATTTCGAGGAAAGATGCTGACTTTTTATGATACGTAGTTGTCATTATCTATGCGGTGCTATTTATGGAGTGGGAGTCGGATGATACTGCATTCCATGCGGTAAGATATCTCTCTGGAAATTATGCTCATTTGTGTCTTGACTAACATTATTTCTAGATTCGGAAAAGCTTCTTTGCTGGTCTACAGACTGTATTCTCCAGTGCACCACCTCCTGGCCCGAGAAAGGATCAGAAGGATAATACAGCGTCTGAGGAGAGCTCGTAGTCGAGTCATATTTATGTCTGACATCAATATATTCTGTAAAATATTCAACTAGATTCCCTACTTGCACCTGCAGTCTGCCAGAAAACTCCAAAATTCAATAAGAAAACTACTGTCGATTCATTTAATCCTCATATCTGTTCATCATTTGTCGTGAAGAAATCCTGTCGGAAGAACAGGCGTCGCTGTACCATGGAGAGAAGGAGAAAGAGACAGGAAACATCAACAGTCTGTCTCTTTCTCGCTTTTTGCTCCTTCGCCTGTGCCAAATATGGCTTCATTACATCATGTCCGCAGGACTTCTCTGGACAAGGAAATGCAGTCAACATGCCAATAACACCAAGAATGCCAAGGCCTGTCAGAAATGACAGACGACCAGTAAACTCCAAAGGTCAAGTAAACAAAAAAACACCAACAAAATAAGTTGGGGTGGGGCTGCTTGAGGACCAGCCCTAACGCCGAGTCATGATCGTATGAAACCCAAAGAAAAGGATAGAAAATAAAGACAAGAGAGGAATGGGAAATTCGTTAAATGGAACCGGGGAATTGCGCACCCGGTTCTTAAAGCCAGCTGCGCAGGTCACTCGACGGGGTAAGCGGGCCAGCAGCTGGGCGGTTGTCCGCGAAGTCTAGAGCAAGCTCCAGCCTGGGCGGCCGCTCATCGACCAGGCCTTTTCTAGGACTACCAGGCGCAACCTTCTTGGGTGATTTGGTGGGTGAGCCAGGTTCGCCACCTCGGGGCGGGCCTTCGCGTACAAAGGTATATGGCCAGCCATCATCGGCTGCAGCTGCGACCCAGGTTCGCAGGCAATCATGCACAGAAGAATAGAACTTCTCCTTGCAAGTACGCAGACTACCACCCATGACTTTCTCAAAACCAGAGGCACGAAGCTCATCACGAAGTTGGTTTCGCTCGTCAGTGGTAGGCAGCATGGCAACGAGGCCGTTTACAAGATCGAGATGTGCTGCAAGATAGTTGGTCGCATCCCATTCAACACCTCCAACGTATGGGGCAGCTGGAACAGGAGGACGAGGGACTGGGAAGTGACGCTCGTTATAAGGACGAGTGTCTACTGGTATCTTTTCGCCGAAAAGGTCTTCCGACTTGGGGAGGGGAATCACATTTAGGTGATGAAGGAAAATCCAGAAGACCTCCTTGGTCACGTTGGTAATCTCCTTACACCACACTCTATATGGTCGCGACTGGTAAATATTCGCAATGAAAGTCAGTGGCTGGTTGTCCACTGGTGGCGCTGGGTCCCTCAGATAAGAAAGAATCTGCCTAGCGCGCTTGGCTCCCAGTTCACCAACAGGAGCAGTGGAGAGCTGCGTAAACAGCAGGTTTGCAATGATACCCCGAGTGGTGAACTCACTGGGACCCTTCTTTTCCTCGTCAAAGAGCATATGCAGCAGAGCGGGGAAAAGTTCATCCTCGATGGCAGTGAGGTGTGCTAGGGCCGCAGATGTAGTGCAAAGAGCCTTCAGACAGAGCAATGCCTGGTGCAGAAGGGTGTCTTCGTGATCCTCACTGTAGACGGGTTAGCCACTGGTTAAAAAGAGGGAGACAGGGTACATACCGCCAGGTCATCTTCATAATGCGGTAGAGAAGCTGCACAATCTCATCCATTCCCCCTTCAGTGATAAAGTCATTGACCCATTGGACGGTTTCGTTACGTAGGAGAAGACGCAGTTTGTGCATCTTTCCCACCTCAACCATCTCGGGCTTTTGGATCTCTCTCAGGTAATGCACAAAGTCGGAAGGATCCGCTGCGGTATCGACAGCGGCCGCATCAGCAAGTGATGCTGTTGAGGCATTGGCGGACAGGGTGGTGTAGACACCAACAGGCTGAGAAAGATCCACAGACCTTGGCCGCATCCGGCTTGATGCTCCACTATCCCTTCGCAACTTTTTGCCAGGCGACGAGGGGCCTTTAAAGGAGAAGCCGCGGCTCCTAGATCGTGATCGAGAGCCTTTACGATCCTGAGATTGGGAGTCTTCCTTGGATTCTTTGCCGCGTCCTCGACGGCTATCGTTGCCCGCGCTGGGAGGAGTGATATTCTCTGTCCGATCTTTCTGGATAAAATCAGCCTTGATATTAGTATCAAGTGAGCGCATTTTATCTCTCATGTTATGAGGGATGTTCCTTGCATCCTAACGGTAGGTTAGCCTTGATATTCAAATCGGTTGTATATAGTCCGGCCAACAAACCAGCAGCTTCTCGAACTCGCTTTCGAGGTCCTTGGAGTTCAGATGCTGATGCACTTCAGCATCTCGCCCCTTTGCATTGAATGCAGAGATAGCAGCCTGTACACGGGAAATACGCTTGGGCTCTTCTTTTGGCATGGTAGACGGGGATATCTTTCGTGGACTCGGTGGCCCCCTGCTCTTAAAAGAGGCACTACCGCCTTGCCCAATGGGGTCGCTTTCTCCCGAAGGTGCGCGCTGCAACCCAAGAATATCCTTCACCTTTCGGTTTCCTGTAAGAATCTCTGACTTCGGACGAGGCTTATGGTCAGTCGGTTTGGCGAGGGAGGGTTGGGAGTAGTCGCAGAAGTTGCGTTGCTGGCTTGGCCCGTAACCCTTGGGCATATAGAGAGAGACCTCGTCCTCTACGGTTCGCCTCAGGTCGGCAGTAGAGTTCGGCCTCGATCGGCCAATAGCCTCTTTGCGAACCGAGGCCGAGTCCTGTGACCAGACTGGGGATGGCATGTTATCAATCAGGTCGGTCGGGCTGCGGTTTTCCTTGTCGCGACTCTGTTTCGAGCCATCCTTCCTTCCCCGCTGGGACCTCTTGAGGATGGCCGAGAGACTATTAGATGATTTGGCCTTTTTGGGCGACAGGTCATTCTGCTCAAGTGGCTCCTCCGATTTACCATCCCTCCGCTCCATATAATTTCTGAGAGACTTCAACGAGACAGCGCTCTTGGTCTTCTTATGAAGGGCACCTTTGCTTTCCTTGCCGCCCATCTTTGGCGCGGCCACTCCGTGGTCGCCCGCATCACGATTGGGGACAATCTCACTGAGTGGGTGGTAGCCAGCAATGAAACCAGGCTCCTCGGTAAACTGGAAAGGGATGCTCTCGATTGGCTTGCATCTCGGCATAGGTCGCGCGGCGGCGGCATCGTCGGCTGATTGATTCCGTTTATGGGTTTTAGACGACATCATGGCCCGGAACATGGACTGTTTGGTAGGGGATCGGTTCGCATCGTCAAAGATCTTGGGGCCAGATGTACTCGCAGCCATCGCTATCCTCTTTGACCAGCAACTAGGTACATCTTGTTAGCAGATGAAGTGCATGAACACCTGTGGAGGGGAACGGGTAGTTGCAGTTCGAACTCACGGGATCTGTGCAAACAAACGCAGAATAGAACAACAACGCGGTCAAAAAAGGGAGGTGGTCAAGTAAACCCTTCAATCTCAACAAAGAACAAAAATGCGGGGAAGGGGATAGGCCGGGTGGAAGAAAAATAGAAGACTCAGATGGGCAAGCTGCGGAATTTGAAGAATCAACGGCGCCTTGCTGCCAACAGCAACCGTCATCGAGTATCAAGATGTTGATCCACTTCGCCTCGACTTAGCGCATGAGACGATCCTTGGGGTTGGCTGGATGGAAGGTGGAGGAGTAAACAACGTGCGGGTAAAGAGGTTGCGAGGGGCAACGCCGGGACTTGGCGGTGAACTTGGAGTTTATTAGCAACAGTGCGCCATATCGGGTCTGTCTGCGCTGCTTTCTGGGGGCTAGACATGTCATATTGCTTATTATTGCCATTCATTTGGGGTTATTTCTCAGCTTGCATGTAGTCCTTGCATCTTTTTGTTTATTTGACTGTGAATGTGAATGTTGTTGTTGTTATTGTTGTTATTACTGTACGCATCCGGCTAGTTGTATATATTGGATAGATCCTTGATTGACACTTGATACATCTACTTTGTAATGTAAATTATATGAAATACCAATAGCATCTACTAATCTACAATCGTATCTTACAGGGTATAGTTTGCTACTATCATGCCTCTTTGTTATTGACCTATGCCGATGCCGGCAAGACTGGCCCCATTGAGAATAAACCCACTATCGTATTACATGCAGTTATGTCGAACGACGCTCAAACCACTTTTTCAGATCTTCTGATCATATTTTATGCAGTTAGTGCGTTGAGTGGAATTCGATCCACAACCGTTTGCGACTTCCGGTGGCGGGTACTTAAGGCGATCCTTTCACTTCAAACGCAGACATAAAAGACGGGAGAAGAATGTAAAACTGCGATCTAAGCGGTGCTTTGAAGGATACAAAGCGATATATGAGAGACAAGTCTGGTTTATGTACAACTTAGGGTTTGCCGGTGCCAGAACGGCGAATGACGAACATCGGGCATTTTCGGACTGGCAGTATTCCACCAAGTTACTTGTCGCATATTTACATTTTGGTCTACACCCCAGAATTCAAGGCTTAATTCAAGATAAAATCATCTTCCAGAGCAGCTAAACACCAGATCGAGCCAAAGCCAAGCCTGCAGCATGAATTGCCCCTCGCGGACTGACGACACTCTCGAGAACCCAAGCTGGAATCAAAGCCCACCGCCCTTCAGCCCAGACACCACTACACGGAATGACTTTAATGGTCTCGCCAATTCCAGAGTACATCGCAGACATGCCAGTTCGGCCAATGCAGCTGGAGATGATCCACTATGCATCGATGACAGACCCATCAGTCAGCAGGATCAAGACCCCGGAAAGGAAAAGGTGCCAAGCGGCGAAGTGACCGCTGCGGACTCGGGAGGTGATTCACCCCCGGGGAGCAGCGGGTCACCTCGCCACTCTTTCTATACTAGCTTGAAGTCTTCTCCTCTGCACTGCGCTCAAACGCTCGTTAAATTCGGCCGTTTTATCGGACCTGGTTTTCTTATCGCGGTCGCCTATATCGACCCCGGAAATTATGCCACCGATGTTGCAGCCGGTGCAGACTTCAAGTACGCCTTGTTGTTTATTGTTCTCCTGTCCAACCTATTTGCGATTTTGCTGCAGTCCCTGTGTATCAAGCTGGGCTCTGTGACTGGTTTGAACCTGGCTGAAAATTGCCGAGAGCACCTTCCGAAATGGCTTGTGATTTTTCTCTACATCCTCGCGGAAGCGGCCATTATTGCGACTGATATTGCAGAGGTAAGTGTCCCGTTTTGGATAGAGGTCCTAATTGACGTACTGACAAACTTGGAAGGTGGTTGGATCAGCAATCGCGTTGAACTTACTATTGAAAATCCCCTTGGTGGCTGGCTGTGCTATCACACTAGTGGATGTTCTTTTCATTCTCATTTTCTACAGACCCAATGGGAAGATGGTGGGACTTCGACTGTTCGAATTCTTTGTCATGGCTTTGGTATTAGGTGTTGTTGTCTGCTTTTGCATTCAGCTCTCTCTCGTAAAGAACCAGTCAGTTGGTGAAGTGTTCCGCGGATATGTCCCATCTTCAGCTATTGTTCAGTCAGAAGGGTAAGTTTGTTCAGCTGCCTCTGTACAGTATTCAGCTACTAACGCATCTTCAGTTTGTACCAAAGCTGTGGAATTCTCGGTGCTACCGTTATGCCACACTCCCTATTTCTTGGCAGCGGCGTGGTTCAATCCCGTCTTAAGGAATTCGACGTCAATTCTGGTTACGTGGAGACCTCTATGCCTCTAGGGAGCGCCGATGGCGAAGTCAAATATCGCCCGTCGATCCATGCAATCCGCGGCTGCATGAAATACTCGATCATTGAGTTAGCGCTGTCACTGTTCACCTTCGCCCTGTTTGTGAACAGCGCAATCTTGATTGTCGCGGGTGCTGCTCTCTACGATCTCCCTGGCGGAGGCAGTGCCGACCTGTTCGGAATTCATGACCTGCTCTCTAAGTCGATCGCACCAGCTGCCGGTTTAGTATTTGCTCTCGCCCTGCTACTCTCGGGTATCTCCGCTGGAATCGTGTGCACAATTGCTGGTCAAATGGTTAGTGAGGGGATGCTGAACTGGACCATCCGACCATGGCTTCGAAGACTCATCACCCGCTCGGTCAGTATCATTCCTAGCATCATCATTGCTGGAGCTGTTGGCAAGGAGGGCCTTGACAGGACTCTGACTGCCAGTCAGGTTGCTTTGAGCGTGATCCTACCGTTTGTCTCGGCGCCACTAATCTGGTTCACTTGTCTCAATCGCTATATGACCGTTCGGACCGAAGAAGCTTCCGAACGAGACGGAGAAGTCGATGTAGTGACAGTTCCGATGCGGAACAACCTATTCACTTCGGTCGTTGCGGTTCTTGTTTGGATTGTCATCGTTGTGATGAATGTGGCCCTGCTGGTGCTGGTGGGACTGGGCAAATCATCTTAATCTCTAGATGCTGATCCTTTCCAGACACGAGCACGCCCCGGATTGTAGCGAAAATAGATCCATAGAGCTTGATAATACCCCCTCTAATTGCTATATTATGACACATGGATGGCATGAGATCTTCAAATATGATATGAGGTAGCTTATTGCAACTTAAAATAAACACCCAATCAACTCCGTTGGCTGCGCCTTGACACAGAAGAACACCCAGTTGCCGCTAAACAAAAGCACGCTTTAACATTAGTCTTATCCAAGTCCGCCAGCGGCCTCCTTGACCTTATGCTGCTCCGGCGGCTCATCAATAAACTGCGGTGGAGCCACCTCATCCTGTAGGAAGCTCGGCATAGCACTCTCGCCCATGCTGCTCTCAAACATAGATTCCTCGCCCAGCGCCTCAAGCTCCGCATCCAACTCGGCCTCATCAACATCCTCAGGAATATCATAGGCCCGGGAGATACTCTCTTGAATCTCATTCCCGACCTCCATCAGATCCGCCATCTCATCCTGCATCTGCTCGATCTTATCCACGTCGACCTTGCCATACTGCTTCTTGAGCTCCTTAGTGGTCGTTTTCATCGCATCCACCGTCGTCATCACATTCTTCAAATTATCCTGCATCATGCCCGCCTGCTCCATGTTCCATGATTGTTGGGAGAGTTGGTCTCGCTGCGCCTCGTATTGTTTCCGGCGCTGCAGGACCTTGAGCGCTTTCTGCCGGAGGGCGGTTTTGCCGGGCCCGTCGCGCATCTTGGCGATTTTAGCCTGGTATGTGGAGAGTTCGGCGTTGAGCGCTGCGAGCTTGACATCTATGCTGGATACTCGAGTGTCGACCTGTTGTATGGTTAGTGGGGTACCTTGAGGGGCGGGGATGGGTGCCTTTGATCGGGCTTGTGCGGGCATCGTACATTGCTAATAGCACCTTGAAGAGTCGGCTTGGGGCCTGTGGTCTTTGTGCCGAATAGTCGATTCATGATGGTAGGTTGGGTTGGGGTGGTTTATTATTGAAAGGTGGAGGTGAGGGCAAATAGGCAGCGGACTTGACAGCGATTCCAGACCGCGCGAGGCCAGTGCTTAATAAAACCGCGATCGGTGGGCCGAGATTGTAATTACCAATAGCTGGGGCGGAGCACTTCTGATAAAAGCTGGCAAAATATAGAATACTGGAGAATCTTGAATTGTTTGATATACAAGTGCATGCGTATGACGGATTTCCTTGCACTTCTTGGCTTTCTCTTTTCGCTTTAGTGCTCACCTCTTGCCGCTTTTAAATCACCGAGTAAAACTGAGCACTCCCTAGTTACCTTGACTTGATCACGGGCCATTATATAATCAGCGTGATCTGCCCGCTCACTGAACATCATCTAACTGAGCATCCTGATTTACCCACTAGTTAAGTGCTCTCTAAGTATAGGGAGGAGCGGCCTAAGTAAGCTATATCAATAAAATGCGATGCGCTAATCCCATCACGTGCAACCATTTCTATTTAGATCGCCTATCAAAAAAGGACTGGCGTAGTCAACGTGACCGTTCATTCTAGCGGCCTCAATCCTATCCAAGTGAAAAATTTGCAGTAGGGCTATTCAATCGACCTATCGTTTTCCCATTTCAGTCTATGCTTCTGGAGTCTCTCGGAATACTTCGCTTACCAGACCGGCGATCCCCTATTCGGGCTTTGCACTACTACCAGGGCGAGGGTGATTGGATGGATTTCCTTGAAGGTTAGAGGTCCACCCTATATCAAAGCAACTAGAGTAATTAGTTTTAAGAAGGTGACGACGATGAATTACTTCTCTCGTTAATGAGCGCATAAGTTGAAAGCTTTTCTGAACGTATAACGTCATGTCTTTCGCGCCATTTCTAAGTAGGTCGTAAACCGAAGACAAACCATCTATTACTAAAGTTCTAAGGGCCCATGGCTATTTCATTTTAATCCTAGGAATTCTAAGAACCACCCGTTTTCCCTAGCATTTCTACCTTAGATGATGCCATTTTAAAAGAGGTACATATGTCTAGTCACTTGCTCCGAAAACAATGGTCTTCTCATTCCTCCACATCCAAGTTAATTTTAGCTAGGGCCATGCGTGCCGAGGTTTCTGCGCTAGGCAGGGGTTCAATTCCAAATTAATTAGCATAATCAACAGTATAACCCCCATTTCTCTTATCCACAGCCCTTAAAGGTCGGAAGGTGTGATGAATGAAGTCAATATATCAGTGGTAGATCTAGGAGATCATGCCGCATGGACTGTGCGCTATGCATGCATGCATGCATAGGACTTCAGAAGCTCACGTTCCGTGACGATAGGGGCGGGCTGCGGCCGGTTCTGATCGCTTTGTTTTTTTGGTGCAATGAGGTACTAGTCCGTGGTTAGACAGAAGCGGTTTGAAAAAAAGAAAAAATATAACAATTAAACCAGGAATTTTTGACAGAGACATGTACGAAGTATAAATATACGTCAACTCAAATCTTGCAGGAGCCCTTTAGTCTCCTAGTACCATTATAATCTCTCCTTATGTGGTGGATAATCTATGAACAGCGCCCATGTGACTGAAGGCTACTTGGTCGGATGAAAAAAGTGCTATTCAATATTGCGTGCCAGATTCCTTTTAACAAAAGAAGTGCATTTCTAATCGAATATCAAGTATAGAAAAGGAAAAGAAAAGAAACAAACGTGAAAACAATAAATGGGCTTTTATACCCCTTCAGGGGCAAAGCCCTATTCTCGTTTCCCCCAGAAGGAAGGTGCGACTGCCTGCGCAAACGACCAACAGTATAATCCTAAACGGGAAAGTACGAGTCCCGCAAGTACCAATCGTGACATAACCCCCGGGCGAGAATACATTTAGTCCCTAAATACTGGCTTCTCGTTATCCACGTGGTCGTCTAATATCCGATCGTCTTACGCGGCCTCGATCTATTCTTGTAGGCGTATCGGTAGCCTGGGCTTCGCTGGATAGGCATCATGGAATTCCTTGATCATCTCCGGAGTATTCTTAAAGTTACCTGCTAGGTACTATACGGGATCTAGGTTGTGTCCTAACCACTATACGCGGTACTGCAGCTTCCTATAATGCTTTCTTATATCTAGGATCTTTTCAACTTCCTACTTATCAGTCTACCCTACCTATATCGGAGGTAGCGGATCTATATATTATCCTATAAGTGGTTCTATACTCGCTACCTTCCGTAGCTTACTTAGGTTAAATACTAGGTAGACGTTAATTAACTATGGTAGGTCTAACTTATATGTGTTCCTAACCTTTTCAATGATCTTATAGGGTCCACTAGTGGTATAAGAGAGTTTTCGACTTAGACAGTCCTGTAGCCAATCCTTCGTAGTAATAAAAACTAGGTCGCTAATACCGAAGTCCTCTTCGCGACGATAACGGTTAGCCTATTATACCTATAGTTCCTGTGACTTTGTAATCTATTTATATATATCTTCCTAGATCTGTTATAACTTTGAGAGTTAATCCGCTACTTCTTATTTATTATACGTTAGTCCTATATAGTCCTAATTAAAAGATATTACTAATTTATAACCCCGTTTAATAAAGAAAGGGGACCTCTTTATTATATCTTACAGAAGAATTGATACTACGAAATCTACTATTAGTAGGTATTCTAACCAGTTATCCTAGTTATATTTAATATACGGTCTTAATCGCTACACTATAAACTGATTTACAATTTCGCTCTGGCTGTCTATCTATAGGTAGTATATAATAGATAGTTTCCGCTTAATCCCTAGGATTCTATAGAACTCTATCTAAAACTTAGAGATAAACTATTCCCCTCGGTCTAATATAATAGTTTTAGGGATCCCTATAATCTATATAATATTATCTATAAACAGACGCACTATCTACTTTATATTAGTATCTTTATAACAGGGGATTGATATCGGTCTCTTATTTAGTCGATTAATAATAATAAATACTATATTATAGCTATATCTGTCCTTTAGGAAGGAATAGAAATCTATCGATAAATACTACTATAGTCGTTTAGAAATCGGTAATAGGTATAGGAGATCAGGCGTACGATCTCTCTAGGTCTTTATACGTTTATATACTAGACAGTTATCTATATATTACTTTATATCTATAACCTATCCTAGCTAATAGTATCTTATTATAATAAGCTTCTTAAGTTTCTCGATTCTAGGGTATATAGTTAACGGTTATCGGTATATCTCGTCGAGTAACTGTACTTAAAGATCCCCTTTATCAGGGACTTTGAGATAGTCTTTAAATAGTAGTAATCCGTCTTACACTACCTAACGGGGATCCGTTTCCTATCTTATAGTCTAACAGAATACTTCTAGCTTAAGGCTCTAGCGGTTCGCTAACTAGACTTATTTAGTTATATCTAAGTTCTGTATAGTCTTAACTAATAGAGGGGGGGCCTCTGTATCCTATATAGATTCTATCTATAATAGGGATATCTCGATTTCTAGTATCGATTTCGTTTCTTCTCTAAAACATTCCTTAGGGAGTAACGTAAGGTACCGACTAATATCTATATAAGGGCTTTCCTTCCTTAAAAGAACGTCTACAATAATATTCCGTTTCCTAGGATGGTATTTAATTATAAAGTAGAACTATAAGAGGAACTCACTCTACTATACTTATTATTAATTTATCTATCGTACTATTATAAAATATTCGAGAGACTGATAATCTATAAGGATCTCAAAACGTTCTATATAAGAGAGCCCTTTAAGTTCTAGTCACCATTCTTAGAGTATACGAATGATCGTAAGGAGTTCCTTATCCCTGATTTTATAATTAAGCTCTATAGGTTATATAGTCTTTAAGAAGAAGGTAATAGGATACCAAAAATTATCGGCTTTATAATATTATAAGAGGATAGTACTAATAACTCTATTTAAGGCATCCGTTTCTATATAGGTCTAGAGGTTAGGATTATAATACTATAGGATAGGTACAGTTATTAACTTATACTTCAATTATATAAATACTTACTTACAGTCTAGCGACTATTCGTATACTATATTATACCGTATAAGACAATATAATAGTTTCGAAAGGAAACTGTAATCCTTAATAAATCATTGATAGAAGTTATAGAATCCTAAGAAAGACTATATTCCCTTAATTATTAACAGTATCTTCTAGTTCCTAATAACTGCGATCTTCTCTAGATCTACTGCGATACCATCGGTACTTATAATAAATCCTAAGAACTTGGTTTTCTATATAGAGAATTTATACTTAGATAGTATAACCTATAATCCTACTCTTTATAGTCGTTTAAGGACTTCTCTAATATGCTTCTTATATTCTTCGAGTATCTTACTATAGATTATAATATTATCTATAAATATAACTACGTAGTCGTCTATATAGTCTCTGAGTACTATATTTATAAATCGCTGGAATATTATAGGACCGTTTATAAGGCTAAACAGAGTTACTTTATACTTAAACGATCTATATTGGGTACAGAATATTGTAAGATCTTCTATAGTTAGTATTAACCTAATACAGTGGAAACCTTAGCGGATATCGAGCTTTATAAAGAATTTTGCTTTACTCGTTTATTAGAGTACTTTATCGATAAGAGGTAATAGGTAATAATCTTTCCTTATAATTACATTTAATCTTCAGAAGTCTATACAGAAACGTAGACCACTACCTAGCTTCTTCGCTATTAAGATTAGTAAAGTATATAGAGCTAAACTAGGAATAATAAATCCTTTCTTAAGATTATCGAGGATATACTATTTTATAGCTTTCAGTTTATCTAATAATAATTTATAGAGCGGGTAGTATCCTAACTATACTTCTACTTTGAGGATAATATCGTAGTCTACCCCTAGGCGATACGGTAGTAGTTCGTCGGATTTTTTCTTAGAGAATACTTCTATAAAATCGTGGTACTCCTATAGGAGGGTCCTTTTAATCTCGTCAAGTTCTATATCCTTCTTAATTGTAGATTTAATATTAATAATCTAATTAATTTCACAGAGTAAGGTCTAAAAGACTTCGATATCTTTATTAATAACCATTTGTATTCGTAAATAGTTAAATCCTACCTAACTAATAATACTAATATCTATCGGTAGAAGAACTTCCTTTATTTCTTCCTCTAGTATCTCTATTCGAAAAGGTACTAGTTTAATTTCGTCGTTAAGGTTCCATTCTATCTTATACTACTCTATAACTTACCAGTACCTATATTAATACTCTCTTACGATAGGGTATAGCTTCTGAGTCTTTAGGTCCTACCGCAGATTACTTAAGGCTCATTTTTCGAAAAGGTAATTGTATCGTTCTATATCCTTCTAGTGATCCGGCTTAACTTATACAGACTACTTAAGGATCGTTATAGGTATAGGTACAGCTAACTAGCCTACTATCTCGTTAAAAAGGGTATTCTTATCCAGCTAGATTATATAATACTGTCAGTAGTCAAGGAGGACATCGTTCTCCGCGAACTATATACGTCCGATAATCATATTATATCGGCCTAGATCTACTACTAGTATAGGAATCTACTACTAGATTCGATTATCTATACTTAGCGTAAGAACAATAGCGTATATAATAAGTTATAATAATTTACTGTCGAATCCCCTAACTAGGCACTTACAGTCCAATTTATAGGTATATAACCTAAATTTCTTACCGAGTAGTATAACTAGTTCTATATTAATAAATATTAAACCGTCTGCTCTAGTATCTACTAGCGCTAAGATCGTAAAGGAATATCTATTATAAGTCAGTCTTATATTAAATACTAAGCTATCTCGTAGACCTCCTAAAAGCTTATATAGATCTAGTATATACAGTGATACCTATTTTCTACCTAGGATTAAGACTTCTCCTAGGTTCCTACTTTTCCTAGGTCTATATTATCCTCCAATTCTTCGAGTTCAGTTATATACGATTGGCTATAGGTCTAGTTAGTTATAGTAACAGCGCTTACAGCTATATTTATCTTCTTCTTCGGGCACTCGAACGTTATATACCCCTTTTTCTTATAATAAAAGTATCGACCCTCCTTTATAAGAGTCTCTTACTCTGTGGCTAATAGTCTAGATAATAAGGCAGTCCCTTTACATTTTATATATAGGGTAAAACTAGACTAGTTAGCAGTGGTCCTAACTCCGCTTCCGAACGCAGTTATTATATAGGTATATACAGTACCCTTTACTTCCTATTAGAGACTAATCTTATAGGACATACTTTAGTAACTCTAGGTAAAGGTATCGAAAGGAACCGTTTCCTAATTAATAGTCTATATAACTTAACTCTACAATAGATATAGAAGTTTCAAATATAGGTTGCGCTTATAGTTTTCTTTAACAACTGCGGCTTCTTCTGTAAGCTATATAAATTCAGCTAAGAAGTCGGTAAAGTCTTCCTTAGGTTTTATCTTAAGTTTATAGTAGGCCGTATACACTTCTATACAATAATTTAGGTTTATAAAGATAGTACAGAGGTAGATAATAATATCTTCTATATTAGTATATAGGTTATTTAAGGTCACACTTATTCTTAAGGTAATATACAGCTGTACTTTACCTTCACATCGGCTTTATATATATAGTTTCCGGTAGACTAGTAATAGGTAATGGTTAGTATTTACTTCGAGCTTCTATCTAATAACTATCTCCTATATTTCGAAATAGACTTCCTTTCTATCCTTTAATATTAGTATATCGGGTATCTTCATAGACTTCTAACTAATAACTCCTATAATCGGTATATCACTTTAGGCTTGGTTCGTTTCACTCTAAGTAAGAACAAGGTAATAGGCAAGGTTATCGCGCTTACGTACAGCGATATCTCTATAGGCAGCAGCCTTATCACATTCTTTAGTAGCTTGGTTATATTCTATTATAAGACGATCTTTCTCTATATAGAATCGATCATATTCTTCTATAATTTATCTAACAGCTTCCTTAGACCTCCTGTTCTCTAAGATCAAGACCTAGATTTCGTTATACATCATCCAGTTATCATCTTCGACTATTCGGAACCAATTGGCCAGCTCAAGGAATCGTTCCTTACTAGGAGTTGTGTATATAATCTTATAGATAGAAGGAGTCGAAGGACCCTCCTCAGGGCCATTGCATTCAATATTCTTAATTAGGTCCTATATTTTAGTAGGAGTCGGGGTTTTAGGGTTAGCAGCTTCTTCTATAAGACGATCCGGTACTACGGGTTGTTTTCCCTTACCGATCGCGGCGATCTGTTATGGTGGGACTATAACTGGTCCTATTCTGGTTGGTTTTAGGATAGGTGGGGTGAAACCAGACTAGGATAAATCGTAATGATTATCTGTGCAGTCGTACGGCTTCAGAAGTTTGGGTTTGGGATGATACTTGATATTATATTGCGTGCTAGATTCCTTTTAATAAAAGAAGTGTATTTCTAATCGAATATCAAGTATGGAAAAGGAAAAGAAAAGAAACAAACGTGAAAACAATAAATAGGCTTTTATACCCCTTTAGGGGCAAAGCCCTATTCTCGTTTCCCCCAGAAGGAAGGTGCGACTGCCTGCGCAAACGACCAACAGTACAATCCTAAACGGGAAAGTACGAGTCCCGCAAGTGCCAATTGTGACATTCAATCCAGTCTGAAGCAAGTTCGTATGCCGATGTCCCGGCTTATGCAATTGAAAAAGATACGTCTATGCTATAAGAAACGTTGCGATTCGCCCGGGAAAGGCTCAATGTGCTCTACCATCCGCTGATCGAGCCCACTCTTTTTCCCTGAATATAGGAGCCAAGACTGCGTCAATTGTTCTGTGTGGGGCAGGGCCATACGAAGAGGGGGGAGATTCGGAAAATCGCAGGTCCTTCAATTAAATGAGCAATTACAAATAGCCGAGTTCGTAGGCTGTAGCATTGGGCAGCTATAGCTTCACGTAGTAGCATTCTTCAACCGAGATAACTCCACGTAAGCTGCTCAACATCCCAAATTGTTGCGTGCTTGTGTCGCTATTGGCTTCAAAAGGACAGTTTGCTGATCTGTCGGGTGGACACGAAGATCTTGATATTAGGATCTGACGCTGATCTCAGGTTTAGCCTCGGCCCTGTCTCATTACCGGCTCGGGTTGGCTCATACAAGAGGAGACCATTTTGGATCAAGTTATTGAGACTGCTTAAGAAATTCCGATTTAGCAAGACAGCGGTACAATAGAATTAGAATTCGAAATCGAAAACAGATTAAGACACTCACGCTTTCTTTCCCAGCGCCCCACTCCAATCGTACTAAACTGAATTCGACCAGGGAAAGTATGTATTTCTGGTGGATCGTCAAAGAAAGGTAATACTAGTAACTAAGGCGAAAGTGGGAGCTATGTTAATTCTGATAACTAGTTGCACACTAAAGTATTCCACAAGCGAGTGGCCACCCCCAAATACTATAGTAAATGCGATATATTCTACATTTATATCTAAACAGCCGTATGTTTATCCTATCTCCCCATTTTCCGATAGTTATAATATATCGTATTTACTATGGTCTTTGGGGATGGCCACTCGCTTGTAAAATAAGTTAGCTCGACCCATCGGCGCCTAATCGGAAGCTCAAACCAGAAGTACTGTACTCTTTTGGAAACTGTCTAAAGAAAATGCCACAGCAAAAGAACAAGCGGTCTACGGAGTACGAAGTTTCAGCTGGCCACGAACAGTGGGGCCACTTTGTAGTAGCTCATGGCGTCCCGAACCCGCACGCAACAACGCAACATTATCTGGTTAAAGATTCTGATTAGTCGCCGGTCGAGTTATTTCCCGGCTAGCCTGATCAACTGAATAATGGGGTTTCGGTTAGTGTAGTGAGTCTACGCTGTAGCTGGCTCAGCCCGCTACATAAATATGAGACCGAATCTCTCACATATGAACTAGATACAGCTTTTCGCGCTTTCCTTTTATAAATCGATAGTCAATTCTACCACAAGGAAAATGAAGATTTGTTTGATTAATTCGTCATACGAAGGAGTTGACTCCCCTTTCGAGAAGGTATGTCTACCCTATTGAGGCCTTCTCCCAGCATCTCTAACTTCAAAACAGTATGATGACTTTCCCGACCCTAATCGGTATATTCCAAAAGACCGGCATGAGTTTTTCACTCGTTACGTCACCAAGAGAAATGCTGAGGCGGAGATTGACGAGATTTGCAAAGAACATTTTGATATGTTCATGAATTACATGGTGAATCCCGACTTTTAGATGCCCTCTATTCCTGGACTATACTTACAGATCTCTTTTTCAGTGGGGCATCGAAACCGACGATGTGGCAGGAGTTGAAGCCACCAGATACCTCGAAACCAAGGGTGTTCCCATCCTCACCAACCCATCGACATTTCTAGCAAAGAATAAAGTCGATCTCCAGAGGGCCGCTGAGAAAACAGGTCTCCGTGTTCCCGAAAACACCCCAGGGAAATACCCCAAAATTGTCAAGTACTCTGACGGATATGGTTCGTTGAGTCTGGATGAGGCATCAATCTGCTACACGGAGAAAGAAGTGACGGATCGCGTGGCCCTTTTGCAGGAGAAAGAAACACCCTTTGGCATCATCGTCCAGGATTATATCATCGGCCGGGAATGTTCTGCTATAGTTGTGGAAATGGGAAAGGAGGTGGTGGCATTGACACCGCTGCAATATGTCTTTCCGAAAGACACTCCCGACAACGAAGCCTTCTTGACGTGGTATAACAAATTCGAAGCTGTTGATAAAGGCACCATCAAATATGCATTTGTGGAAGAGCAGCCTCACATCAAAAACCTCCAGAATGCGGCTGTGGACGCATTCAAAGCAATTGGTGTCAGCGGTGGTGGTGGGTGGGCCCGTGTTGATATGCGTCTGGAGGAAAGAACCGGGCTTGTCTACGTGATTGAAGTCAATTGTATCCCCGTGGTCTTTTACCCAAAGGGAAACACACTTGGTGATGACCTTGTTGTGGGAGAGAGATTTCCTGGTGGCCAGGCTGCATTTTTTGACATGTTACTAGCGACCAAGCAGATGCAGCTTGGGTGGCACCGTGTTCAAAATGCTCATGTCGCCGAGGTTTACAACAAATTTGCCCCCTCGTACCATTCCGTGTGGAGCAATTCGGAGCTCTCTGAGATGCAAAAGTACCTTACTACCAATTGGGACTATTCGGGTACAGTTCTTGATGTTGCATGTGGGACTGGTGGATTTGGGCAGTTTCTCCATGCTCAAGGGATCCAAGCCGAGGTGACTGGCATTGACCTATCACCCGGCATGTTGGAAAACGTGGAACATTACAGGGAACTTCGAGTTGGGCCAATGGAGGAGCAGATCATGGTATGTGCCTTTGGAATACTTGTTTTGGGAAAAATGAATGAAGACAAAGCTTACTTTAATATTAGGGTGCTGGTGAATATGACCATATCGTATGCTTTGGTGCCCTCCATTTCCTTGGTCCTGTCTACCTCAATGCTGTGCTCGCACGGATGTTTATGCTTGCACGCAAATCGGTTTCGATCTCGGTAGACGACGTCAGCGACGAATATATCCAGGCAATCAAAGAGAAGCATGGTGAATTGACGTTTAATGCCAATCATGTCAAGGCCATTGAAGAGTTCGGAATTCCAAAAGGATGGAAACGAGTCTATCACGAGAGGAGGCTTATGTATTCTTCTCCAACCAATGGAGAGAAGGTTTATGGATATGGGATGCGCTTTGAGAGAGCAGATGCCTAGTATTTCGATGGCTTTTCAAAACCTGCGTGTTGACATAATCCCAATTTCACAAACTTTGACATCATTGAAAGCATCTGCCCTATAGTCAAGAATTATGCCAATATCAAATCTTATATCTAAATCGAGCCTCGAAACAAGGGGTTGCTGTCAAGTAGCTTGGCAGAATGGTAAGTATAATTTCGACCTTGGGAGTCCTGGACATTTTGCTGCTGTTGCTTGCTTCCATTTTTCGGCCACTTCACATGGCTAGGATTAATAGCTAGAGATAGCCTGCCTTTGCTATTTCTACGTGTATGACGGATTTCCTTGCACTTCTTGGCTTTCCTTTTCCGTTTTAGTCCTCAGGCCTTGCCGCTTTTGCCCTCACCGATTAAAACCAAGCACGACCCTTGATTATATAGGCTCACTGATCTCCGAGGGCTGCAATTGAGCACACATGTACTTCGTACCTGAAACATCGCCTGATTTGATATAATTTTGAGGTGCCTCGGCTCGGATCTTCCTTCTTGTCAAGTTTGGCCATCTTTCTGGTTGGGCTCGGTAATGATCTGCAGTGCTCAATGGCAACATTGAAAAGGATATAGAGACAACATTGCTCGAATTGCCATTAATAAACAATCGATGGTCCATAGGACCGACCACTACTGACATTGCAAAGCCCCTGAAAATGCATTCATGATTACCCCGTAAATAGTAGAAAAATAATAAAGGGCTGTGCGTTGGCCGATCCTGACAGTTCTTGCTCCGGTGCCGGCATTGTCCCCTGGCATATATATCTAGCTTCATTTTCCGCTACGTGATGCTTTTTGCTGCGGAATTGACGACCAAGGCCTCGTTCAGATCCAGTTCAGGAGCTTGAGCTTGCCACTCCTGCTCTGACGCCTCGGTAATCGTTCTTATGACCTTTGTTTTGGTATTTAAAGACCACAGATCAGCTTTTCAGACTCAACCCGTGAGCATTTGCCTCAGTGAAAGCTGGAGCTGAAGGATATGCTTGAGTGAGGGTGGCTCGGAGCTGAAAAGGGCGCCATGATTTTGCCCTGATGAACAGATGACAGTTGGGATCTATGCTTGCAGTTCAGTATGAGACACAAGAAGGAGTGGACATGGGATCAGCCCGAGTGGATGCCTAATGAGCGGGAAGTAGCTATGTTTCTGAGCCTAGGCCGTACTTTGTACATCCCATGATTGCTGTGGAGACTTCTACAGATACAGAGGATACATCTGATTCGCTATCCTGGTTGATGATACCAACTGTAGATTTAGGGTTACTCCGCTCGGTGGGCCGATGCTTCATACTTCATGTCTGGTTCGTCATATACGCACATCGTTTCTACATTTACATAGCAGCTATATAATTATATGACAGTGGAATTGTTTTATTTGTCTTCGTCCTTGGCTATAGACAAAGTCTCCGATAGCTACACCCCGGGCTATTTACCGATAAGTGCCCAGCTAGCTATTAAAGCAAAGAGATGAAGCAATAGACGTGAGGTCAGTGTCCAGAATGGCCGGCGTGGCACCAGTATCCGTCTGCTGCCGACCGGAAATGTAGTGCAAGCCGTTGAAAATACTCGCGGAGCTCCTTTTCAATGTTATCCTAGGATAACCCAGCAGGCAGCGGCGAGGCAAGAAGAGAAAAGAGCAAAAGTTCGGCAAACATGATGAAGCATAAGAACTAGAAGAAAGAAAGAAAGAAAGAGAGAATGATAGATATGATAATACTACAGACAACAGGTCTCTCTCTAATAGGTTTAAATGTCGCTGAACTGTACGGAGTAGTTACTCTCCTATGAAAGATAAATGCTTGGAATCAAAATGAGACTACAATGCAACCTACTACGACATATACTCGTGTTTCTTCATTAATCTGATGCATAGAATACCCCCAAGATGCAATATCGTTCGCTACACCCTTAAACCGACTTCATCTTAGCATTTTAAAAAGACTAACAACATACCTGGTACATTCGGTATTGACCCATTTGGGTAAAGATTGTCCGGATAATTATTACCTAGATAGGCATAATCGAGGCGGATTGCCCTTTCGGGTTTGGGCGCCGCACGGTTAAAAGCTAAAATCATATTTTGTACAACGGAACTCAAATACGTACGCTCGCCTGGAAATCAACGGCGGCGAGATTTCTCTTGTTGTCACCCTTCGGTAACTAGAGTGGTGTGTGCTTTTTCATGCCGGACCTACCGAAGGATCAAGGATCACCCGACTGGCTTCGTGGACTGGTTGCAGATAAAGTGCCTTGCCAGGTAGTGATGTGAATACTGAGCGAACATATGCAATTGGAACGCTGGAGCATACATAGCTGTGCGCATTCGTGGACCTTAATCGCGGTCTATAGGAATGTTGATATAGATCATCACTGGAACTACGCGTTCAATTGCGTTGATACGACTATTAGTGGGGTTGCTACAAATCCACCTTCTCCCGCTTGTCCATATACACGCCTTGTACAACGGCCCCTCGAAAACGACATGATCTATGATTCTGATCGTTGGACAAGGAGATCAGCTCCCGGAACTATCTATGAGCAACGTCATCGATGCCTGAGGCCATAATATACACGTGGTCGTAAAGTACATTCAAAGTTATCCCAAATTTAGCTTGTTTCACCTTAGTGGAGAGGTTATTGCCATGGGAATATACGCATGGTATGGAGCAGAATCGTCAGATGATGTACATGGAGGACTATCCGGGATCTAGATCCTTGTACTCCGTATTCGTGGCAGTTTAGTTGGCTACGTGGGACAGGACACTGAAGGTATCTGATACCTGACTTGATACCCAAATCTGGCGGGGAAGGGCTGTACCCAGTACCCACTGTAATTTTGATGCAACGGGCCCCATGATGAGATGAGATGGAAATTAAAAGCACAGGCGTAGATAAGTAAGATTAAGCGAAAAGCACTTCATAAAACCCAGAACTACAAAGTCATCTATACTCATAGATCGTGCAGTTCATTCTTATCTGGTGGTTTTGATCCCCGCGGTGATTACATACGTGTTTCCGCCCCTGCTTCTACAGGGCTCGTGGCCATCAGGGATCGGTAATCGATCAGCACAGCTTCCCCCGAAGCGGAACCTTTCTTTCTTCTCTCTTCAACTGCTTTCTCGACGGACAGATGTTGAGTCGCCATTCCCGTCTCTCTCTCTCCGTGCGTGTGCCTAGAGTCTGCTCATTTTGACTCAACTCCACTCACCCCATTTCTTCATCTTCCCCTCCCCAAACCCACAGGGAGGTTCGGATTTCTCTCTTTCTTCGTCATTCCCTCGGGATTGAAGGTATGCTCTATCAAGGGCTCTGACTTCTGGTCTAGTAGCTTCTATAAATCCTCCTGACCAGATCCTCCAACTCCGTCTGTCGCATCCCGGTGAAGGCGGCCTGCTTCACGGGTACACACATCATCGGGACTGCTGGTGATGCAAGCGGGTGAACCTCATGGCTAATAAATTCTCTATTCATACAGCGCTAGACCGCTTCAATTTTCAATCGACTTTTTCTCCATCTCCAGTCATTTATCGGCCGTGACGGTCGAGAGCGTACCCCACCCGACCTGCGCGACCTGGTCTGTGTTCTGTGTGTGGACACCACGCTTGCTTGCCGCTGTATCGGCCTGTCGCGCAACCTCTCCTGGGCACCCGATCTTTCGACCAACCCTTGTACCATAGACTGCTCCGTTACGACATCTCGGAGACGAACGAAACGAATCCATCTTATGAATTATTTCCCTCGGGTATATACTCCATCATGTTTTGGCGCTTTGGGGGATATGCGAATCTTTCCACCATCGATACCCTGCTCGACAAACCCGATCTCACTCTTGAGGAACTCTTAGACGAGCCCGAAACTATTCAAGAACTGAAACAGCTTAATACGAAACTCATTGAATATCTGCGCGAGGATCATGCCTTGAAACGGCTTATGGAATACGTCACGGCACCGAGCTTGGTGAATGACGACGAAGATGATGCGAAAGACACTTCAGAGAAGGGCAAGGATGATGCCGCTTCTGCGGAGCAGACAGATATGGACGAGGAGAAGGAAGGGGATCTGAGGGATATTCTTGACCCGGATGACCTAGACAAAGTCGAAAAGAAGCGTCTGACGCATGCCTATATCGCCTGTGAGATTCTCTCATCAGAGACATGGTCCATCCTCGAATCCATGATGGCCAACCCTGCATACTTGGGCGAATTCTGGGGTTTCCTGCGACGACCTCCTCCTCTTGATTCATTGCAGGCAAGCTACTTCACGAAAGTAAACGAGACTTTGCTTGATAAAAAGACCGACGAGATGCTGGAGTTTCTCAACACCCTTGATGGAATTGTCCCAGCATTGTTGCAGCATGTTGATAACCCGATGGTCATGGATCTTCTCTTGAAAATTATCAGTCTTGAGAAGGCAGAGGGTGGCCAGGGCACTGTTGACTGGCTCAGATCCCAGGGTTTGATCCCCAATCTTCTGTCTTTCTTGTCCCCCGATCGTCCGGCGTCCGTTCAAACCTCTGCAGGTGACTTCCTGAAAGCGATCATCACTATATCTGCAAACGCAAGCCCGAACGACCAGTCATGTATTGGTCCTAACAGTTTGACACGCCAGCTTGTCTCCACCGAGTGCGTACAGCAGCTCATCGATGCGATGCTCAAGGGTGGCAATCCCCTGACTGTGGGCGTGGGTATTGTCATCGAGGTAATTCGCAAGAACAATTCCGACTATGATCCGGAGTCCCTTGGCGGACCCGATACAATGCTCACCACTTACGACCCAATCTACCTTGGAACGTTGCTGCGTCTCTTCGCTAAACATATTCCCCAGTTCATGGCTCTCATTCAAAGTTCCCAGCACACTATTCATGAGGGAAATAAGCTCAAGACTGTTGAGCGAGGAAAGTTGAACTCTGCTTGGGGTGGGCAAATTGAGCCTCTTGGTTTCGACCGATTCAAGACGTGTGAATTAATGGCGGAGCTGCTTCATTGCAGTAATATGGGTCTTCTGAATGAACCAGGCAGCGACGAGTATGTTAGGCAACGAGACGAGGAGCGTGAGCGGTTAATCCGTGAAGGAGGGTTCGATACGCGAGGCTTCGATACACACCAAGATGAGCATTCTGGAGTTGATACCGCGGCCGATTTTGCGAACGATTCAGCCCTCGATTCTGGATCCCCAGAAGATGCCAAGGTCACAGAAGTGCCACACGTGGGTGAAGATGACGGATTTGAAGATGTTGGCGCATCTGGTGATTTAGTGAGTGCAAAAGCTGATGCCGACACAACGGCTACTGCAAACTCGCAGCCGACGGAAACGGTCAGCGAAACCTCTCCATCGGAAATCACAGAGCCAGAGCCGGTGTCTTCCGAAGAAACCACGGATAAATCTGAAAGTTCCACCACACCCATTGATCCCTCGTCGCCTACTACTGGTCTCTCTGATCAAGTCAGCGCCATGAATCTTGAAAGTGAACCACAAGACGAGCAGCAGGAGCCTGGAAAGGACAACCAGGAGCCTGTGGCTTCCCTCTCCCAAGATGTTCCAGCTCCTCTCTTCTCCAAGGAACAAGCATCCGAGTCAGACTCCGCCCCAGCCGATCAATCGGAAGAACCATCTAGTCTTATTGAACAGGTCGAGGAAACGAGCGTTCCGAACGACGGAGGCGATGAGGACTCGGCCGAACAATACATCCAACTCGATACTGACGGGCGACCTGTGGTCGGCGATTACCTGAAGATCCAGTTCGTGGAGAATAAAGTTGTCCCAACGATTCTGGTTTGTATTTCTTTTAGAGAACGTTGAACACCCACGCTAACCATTGATAGGGCTTCTTCTTCCGCTTCCCATGGAATAACTTCCTGCACAATGTTGTTTACGATGTGATTCAACAAGTCTTTAATGGGCCCATGGAGCGTGGCTACAATCGGGCACTCGCAGTCGATGTATTTGACACCGGACGAATCACTACCGCGATTGTTGAAGGGCAGAAGCGCAGCGATGAGACCCAGCGGACTAAGCAAATCCGTCTCGGATATATGGGACACCTTACTCTTGTTGCGGAGGAGGTCGTCAAGTTCAGCGAGCGTCATCCGCCAGAGTTACTCTCACGGTCCGTTATGGAGAGCGTGTTGAATCCCGACTGGATTGAGTACGTCGAACAAACTTTATCAGAGACTCGCGAACGCGACAATGCTATTCTCGGCGGTGTTCGTCCTGATATATCGGTTGGGCCTCGCCAGACTAGCCTTAACAACACCAACTCTGGCCAAGGCTTCTCTAACTCCGCTCTGGCGGACGTGGGATTGAATGGAGGAATCGGTGGCTCAACCTTCCAGAGTTTCGACCTCGGCCAAGGAGGTGTTTCCGGTGGAGCATTCGGCGGAGGTGGCACCTCCCTTTTGAGTGGCTTTGCCAGCTCAAGCGACGACGAGGACGAAGAAATGGAGGACCAGGACGAGAGAGACTCCGGCAATGCCGATCAAAATGACAATGACAATGTGGGTTACCTCTTCCGATGGACATGATGGTGCACGATCTCAACCGATTCCGTGCATCCCCCATTATCTTCACCATTCCTTCCCGGTTTACCCCTCATGTATCCCAAGCTATAGCAAGGGCCAAAGAGCCAGAATTCCAGGTAAAGTGCTGGATCGCTAGTGCTTGGGCAATGTGGGCTTGACTAAAACTGGTATCATGCCTGTTAGCTGATGTTCATTGCCGATATCGTGTTGCAAATCTCAGCCCAGGGGAGGGGGGATTCTCGTGTCACTTTGTCCTGAACTGGGTTTCTTATGCACTTTTCCCTTTCCCTTTACAAGGAATGGGCTGTCAGATGTATTGTCTTTTTACTAACTGACTTTCTATTAAGGTGTTCACAAGTTCAGCCAGTCAACCTATTCCTATCTTACCCCCGCCACCTGCTCCATTGAGCTTGGGCCCTTCCCGCGCACGCCGTCAGTTAGCCGCACGTCTTGCCGCTCAAAAGCAACAACCATCAGAAAATGAAGGCGACGGAGATTACAGGGGGGCCGAAGGAAGTGAGGACCGAGAGTCAGATTGGCCGGATAACCCATTCGTAATTGCAGGGATCGATGACCCCGCCGACGCAGGCAGCTCTGCGTTCCCTAATAGTGACTTTGGTTCAGCCGATGGCAAACACTCACCTACCTTCCCGGAATCAGGATTCAGCCCTCCAGACTCGCTATCAACTAACTCATCTGAAGATGAAGGTGATGGCCACGCAGAATCCGTGAGGCGACAGGTTCGTGTCCCTCTAGAAGTCGAGGATGACGACGATGATGAAATGGGTGAGATGGTCGGGCCGAGTGGCATTGGCATGATGGACTCCGACGACGAAGACGAGGCTATCATAAACGAATCTCTTGGTTACTCCAACCTCTCGGGCCCCGCCCGATACAACAACTTCCGATCACGAGCCGTGAGCTCCCATTATGATGATGAGCAAAACGACAGCAGTGATGGCGAAGATGATGGATTGGTGGAGATAATGGTCCCTGGCCGCAAGGCCTCGACCTCGAACTAAGCCTGGGCTCTTTGCATTTGATTTCGTGGCCATGACGGTAAATCCCAACGGCAAAAACCGTGGGGGCGAGTCACCGTTGCGGCATGGCGTTTGTATATAGACTTTCCATCGATGGAGTAGCCATGGGGTTCTGCATGGAGAGCTTTCTGATCTGATGTCTTATTTGTGTCCTTGCATGTATTCGCATGCTACGTGCCTGGGATCGGCTTACGAGTCTGTGGCTTTTGATTGGTATTCGCTTGTGTACGATAGTTGTCTGGAGAAGCGAATTGATTTATTTTGAGCAAATAGTAGGAAAGCCTATATCAGCCCGAAAGTATCATTTCGTAGATCATTCTTATAAGACGCGCAAAAAAGAACGTTGAATCTCTCGGAGAAAAAAGCGGGCCCCCACCATCCCGCATCAATTCTTCTCAGGACTTTGACACAACCAAGTCGGTTCATTCTTGGATAACTTTGTCGGTAGCAATCAGTCGTGCCTGTGAGAAAATATATCCAACAAAAAAAAAAGATACACTTGCTTCAAAAATGGCAGCTTCCTCGGAGTAAGTGCAGTCTGGAGATACGTCATTCCCAAGCGTATATCTAACACAAAACAGACAAGTCGATCCAAGTTTAAAAGCTCACACAGAGCTAGTGAACTGGTTCATCCAGCATGGTGGCACGGTCGATAAGAGCGTGCGCATTGCACAAGACGCCTCGCGCGGCGTGCACCTGCAAGTGAGAGCAGACTGGCCAGAAGCCATCCGAAAAGAGACCCGAGTGATCAACACCCCAATTAGCGTGTCAATGTCCTGGTACAATGCAATTGGCTATGAGTCACCACGGGGCTCATTCCCCAAACACGGCGTTGACTTTCCGCGGACATGGATCGACGACGTCGGGCCGGAGGAGACTTTTGCCTTCTTCCTCATGGGCCAGTATCTACGCGGGCCCGACAGTTTTTGGTATCCGTATCTTCGTACCCTGCCTCAGCCGGGTCAATTGACTACCCCGTTGTTCTTTGGTGAGGAGGATGTAGATTGGATTCAGGGTACTGGGATTCCCGAGGCTGCCGTTGAGAGGATTAAGATATGGGAGCAGAAGTATGATTCGGGCTATCTTCAGTTGGATGCAATCGAATTCCCGGATTGTGAGCAGTATACGTGGTGAGTACGAGATACTGCTGTCTCTGTTATTCTGCCCGAGGATGACATTATGCTGATTTGTATACAGGGAGCTGTATCTCTGGGCTTCGACTATCATTACCTCCCGGGCATTCTCGTCAAAGGTTCTATCTGGGGCTGTCGAGCCTGGTGATCTTCCAGAGGATGGAGTCTCGGCGCTGCTTCCGCTCATTGACCTTCCGAATCATCGACCAATGGCGAAGGTTGAGTGGCGAGCGGGTGACGAGGATATTGGTCTTCTTGTGCTTGAAGATCACTCGGCAGGCCAAGAAATTTCCAACAATTATGGCCCTCGTAATAATGAACAATGTACGTATCCCATTTGCCGGGGCGTGATATCCGAGCCTTGAGAACGCCTGAATCATCATAGACACTGACCATATGATAGTGTTGATCAACTATGGATTCTGCATTGCCGGCAACCCAACCGATTATCGCATTGTTCATCTGGGCGTGAAGCCCGACAGCCCGCTCGGCGAAGCCAAGGCTCGCCAGCTCGAACTGTTCCCTCAGGTTGCCAAGAATATCGAGGACCACTATTACATCTTCAATACTTTCTACCCACTACTGGCTCCCGAAACAACGATGGAGCACTCGATCTTTTCACCGGCATTGTTCAATGCATTGACCGTCATGGAATCAAACAAACGCGAGCGCAAATCACTCGAGATCACCGAGAGCTGTATTCGCATTCTTCCGGGATATGGAAACAACCATAGTATCTATGCTGCACTCGCTCAGATTAGCTTCGAGCTCATGGCTCATGCCGCAAACCTGAAAGCCAGTGCGGAGCATCTGCCTTTGCAGCCAACCACCCTGAACCAGATCCACTCTCAGATCTACCGCAACGGCCAGATAACATTAGACCAGGCTGCTTTGGTTATCGCTACTTGGACTATTGCACGCGGGAGGGAACATAAGCGTGGTGAAAGTTGGGAAGATACCAAGGTCCTCCTACATGAAGTAATGGCACGCGTCCCGGCCGGCCTTCTCTCAGACGAAGTCATGTCCCGGATCCGAGTGCGTATCCTAGAACGTCCGTCCCTGATCACTAAAAATGGTGAACTGTTCAGGTTAGGCGAACTTTTCAGCCTTCTGCCGGCTGAAATGCAGGAGCCGGCTCAGACATGCTTCCAGCACGCCCTGGGAGAGGCTAGCCAGGCCGTTCCGAGTATATCCACAGATCCACAGACCCTGTTTGCAACGGTTATTTGCTTGCTGGTTGCAACGTATAATTCGCCAGAGGCACGGTCAAGATTGTCCTCGCGTCTCAACCGATGGTTTACTTTCCTGCTCGAGCAATACCCTCTGCCTTCCAGATCTATTGAGACTGGTGTGGATGAAGCCAGCGAAACACTTCGTCAATTCCAAAGATATACTACGGCAGCACAACCAAGCTCATGGGCACCTGGTGATGGGGTTAATTGGCTTACTGAGGACAGCGGGTGGTTGGACTCGGAGTGGCTTCAATGGTCATGGACGGTGGCGGGCTCAGAAATGGTGATGATTCCTCTTGATCCATTTGAGATCCTCAAGATGGAGGGATCATTGTCTATGTTGAAACAGGCATGTCTCTATGTACCACAAGAGTAGATAAAGAGGAAGTAGACATAGAAATGAGCGAGTCGTTTATGGTCTTCGTTAACAATCCTCTCTCTTAACCCCGATAAATCGAGAAGAAGAAAAAAAGTTAGAATAGACGTTCAAGAGGAATTTCGAACAAATGCTAGAGAAATAGGCTATTTAACTGGCCATATCTTTATGTATATGGATCACGTGATATGGCATAGTTATACCATCCTAATGTGGAATTCTGACTCAGCAATATTGTCACGTGTGAGCATATCACCCAATCATATCGAGCCCAAAGGCGGATCATTCAGCAAGCGCAGGAATTGCCGTGAGCTCCACGACTCCCTTCCCTTCTACTCCACGACCCTTTGACCCTCACTACGCATTGTCACCCCCGCCGTCATCATGATATCCAGAGCGGCGGCTCCCTCCACCTCCTCCCTCTCCCACCTCTCGATCCGCTCCCTCCGCGCTCCGGGGGCGGCAGCCCGCTCCTTCGCATCTGTGTCGGAGGCGCCTCCCGTGAAGCACCATGGCGGACTTAAAGACCACGATCGGATCTTCACCAACCTTTACGAACATCATGGAACGGATTTGAAGTCATCAATGAAATATGGTGATTGGTACCGCACCAAGGATATTATTTTGAAGGGTGATGATTGGGTGGGTTGTCGCACAATTGACGATCTGGGGAATTACCAATTGCTAATCCCATGACCAGCTCATCTCAGAGATCAAGGCATCCGGCCTCCGTGGCCGTGGTGGTGCTGGTTTCCCCTCAGGATTGAAATACGTAAGTGGCCCACACGCAATTCGGACAAATACCAGTGCTTTAGGATAACCGAACTGACTCGCTACTCGATAGTCGTTCATGAACTTCAAGGGTTGGGAAAAGGACCCTCGCCCCCGTTATTTGGTTGTCAACGCAGATGAGGGTGAGCCCGGTACTTGCAAGGACCGAGAGATCATGCGCAAGGACCCCCAGAAGCTGATCGAAGGTTGCTTGGTGGTGGGTCGTGCTATGAACGCCAACGCCGCCTACATCTACGTCCGTGGCGAGTTCTATCACGAAGCTACCATTCTCCAGCGGGCTATCAACGAGGCCTACGCGGCTGGTCTGATCGGTAAGAACGCCTGTGGCACTGGATACGACTTCGACGTGTACATTCACCGAGGAATGGGCGCCTACGTTTGTGGCGAGGAGACCTCGCTCATTGAGTCTATTGAAGGCAAGGCTGGCAAGCCCCGTCTCAAGCCTCCCTTCCCCGCCGCAGTCGGTCTGTTCGGTTGCCCCAGCACAGTCACCAATGTCGAGACCGTTGCTGTGACACCGACCATCATGCGCCGTGGTGCCAGCTGGTTCTCTTCCTTCGGCCGTGAGCGTAACCACGGTACCAAGCTTTTCTGTATCTCCGGTCACGTCAACAACCCCGTCACAGTAGAGGAGGAGATGTCCATCCCGCTGCGCGAGCTAATCGAGAAGCACTGTGGAGGTGTCCGCGGTGGCTGGGACAACTTGCTCGCCATTATCCCCGGTGGCTCGTCAACTCCCATCATCCCCAAGTCCGTGGCCGACAACCAGCTCATGGACTTCGACTCCCTCAAGGACTCCCAGACCGGTCTGGGTACAGCTGCCGTCATTGTCATGGACAAGTCCACGGATGTCGTCCGCGCCATCTCCCGCCTGTCTAAATTCTACAGACACGAGTCTTGCGGTCAGTGCACCCCCTGCCGTGAGGGCAGCAAATGGACCATGCAGATGATGCAGCGTCTCGAGACCGGCAATGCCCGCGAGCGCGAAATCGACATGCTTCAGGAGCTCACCAAGCAGGTTGAGGGCCACACCATCTGCGCTCTGGGTGAAGCTTTCGCCTGGCCCATCCAGGGTCTGATTCGCCACTTCCGTCCCGAGCTGGAGGCCCGTATCCGCCAGTACGAGAAGGAGCTTGGCGGTGCTCCCTTCGCCGGTGGCTGGCACCCCGACAGCCGTGCTGAGGGCAAGTTGATCTCCCCTGGCATGTAAACGCACCTCCCACCTTTCGTTTTTCCATTTACAACCCCTTTTCTCCCTGTGTTGTCCCCTCAAAAAGAAGCAGGAACAGGTCGAGGATGATTATCGCTTCTAGATCCCTCTTATATCTCCCTCTCCCTGGCCGGTAATGTTTTCTGTCTGTCTGGTCCAGCCGGGGAGGGTGGCGTTTCTCTTTTCTTTACTCAGCCCGATCCCCTCGTATTCATCTATCGCGCCTAGGTTTCCTTTATTGTACAGTTGGTAGCAAATTTGATGCATTTGATGTCTTCATTCGTTTTATGTATGGCGGGTTTTGGGTCCATCGTGCCAACTGGATTTCTGGCCAGAAGGTTAACCATCTGCCATGAATCAACATTGATATATCTGTAGTCTCTCAAAGGCCTAGAAGGAGAATAGATAAGAGCGGAAGAGGATCTAACTAATCGACGCTAGAAGTCCTAGATATTGCAAGGTAACAATCTTGATTCTTGATAATAGTCACTATATCGCAGCCTTCTTACTACCCTCACTAGCCATAAGATAGTGTGTTACGCTGTCAAGCTACTATATCTGAGAAATGTCGAAGTCCATTTCGATGCTCCGACAAGAACGAATCAACGTTTCTCTTCTCACTTCATCCAACTAACCGTTGAGCAAGCACTTGACAAGGCCATTCGCCTTTCACATTCACAGTCTCGAATCTCTCAAACCCTTGAGACTCATAGTACTGGATCAATTTTCCATCGCCACCCGCATAGCAATCTACCCGTAGTAAAGAGACCCCAGCCTTCCTAGCAAGATCACGCGCATGGTCCAAGAGACGTCTACCAATCTGACTGCCAGCACATTGCCGATCCGTGACTAATAACCGCACGTAAAGCTCAGGCTCAGAGACAGGTGTCACATAGGGCATTTTATCCCCAAGAGCGAGCGCACCGACGACGACCCCCGGCTCTTCTCCGTTCATAGTTTGGGCGAGCCAAAGACCATGGCCGGTTGTTGCAAATTCTTTGAGTTGCTCGGCGCGTTGTGGGTTCTCGGAAAAGGATGCTGTTCCCCATTGCCCGGTTCTGTTGTGCGATACTAGCCATTGGACTGCGGTGTCTAGAAGATGGAGGACTGCCGGGACGGCGTCTGCTGTTCCCCGCACGATAGTTATGTCGTGGACTCCATTCTTAATCGGGCTTTTGAGATTTTTGTTAGTATCTGTGAGTGGCCTTTCGCTTTTGTTCTTCATTTGATATTGGCCCCTTCCGATCTACCTCTTCTCGGGTAGGTTGGCGCTTTGAACAATAATACTTACTTTGATGCCATTATCCAAGCAGTCTGAAGGGACGATTGTTGTAAAATAGCCTCAATAAGCTCAACTAGTTGAACTTTTGGGGGGATCTTTGGAAATTGTCGAGTGAGAAGTCCTACTGTACATCCTGGAGCGGAGATAGGTAAATAAAGGCTTGGCAATGACGTAATCTCACTGTGCATTCATGCAATCGCAGGAATGTGGAGATATGCCGCGAGCGATGTAGCATATCCCCATTTTCTCCATTTCCATCAAGCGATTAATAGGCGAATCAATTCAGTAACAACATAGTCTCTCACCTCGGAATATCAGAGCGATGATCTCCCGTCTTCCGCTTCACTCCGTTCTTCTAGGTTCTTCAGCGACATTAGCATCATTAGCACCAGCAACCAATTCCTGAACATTAGTATCCTTCTGTTCTCTCCCATCGGCCTTTCCTTCGATCTGAATCTCAGCAGCTCTCGCATCCTTCTCCATCTTCTGTTCGATCTTGAGCAACCTCTTCTCTCTCCAGCCCATCCCATACACATTCTCAACCCAGAGCAGCCCCATTCCAGCAGTCATGGCCAAGCCCAAGAAAAAGAAACACCATCCCCATCCCATGCCACTTAGCATTTGGCTAATGACCGCGGCACCAACAGCGCCAAGGCAGCAGCGAACAAGGTTGCATGCCGATGCAGCTGTGGCAGGCTTGTCTGGGAATAGGTCGACAAGAAGGGTGTTGAGGCAGTTCAGGGCCGCAACGAAGCAGAATCCTATAATGAATTGCAGCACCAGTGGAGCGGCTAAGTGTACTCTTTGCTGCAGCACCCACCCGTACGGGATGAATGCTACAACGCCGATGGCCATTGCGGGGAATACTGTTTGCAGGCGAGTGTGCTCGATCGGAAAACTGCGCAAATCGTCCCCTTTCTGGCGGTTCACTGGAAATCCGAGCTTTTGGGCTGTCCGCTTGTAGTTGTAGTCAATGACTTTTCCATACAGGACTGCGCCGAGGCAAGAGCTTACCCCGAGGGGCCTGCGAGTTTGTTAGTATGGACCCCGGGGTCAGGAAGATGAGGCAGACATGAAGACTTACAAGAAACAGAGCCCAATCTGGAGCTCGCTGAATCCATACAGGGGACCAAAGAGATTAGGAGTGCTTGTTAACAGAGCGATATTCGCGAACATCACAATCCCGACGTACGAGATGATGATCAAGGCATCCCACTCCAGTAGAATGACAAAGGAGCTGAGAGGATTCGGGAACCTAAGTCTCTTAGTATGCGAGGACTGTTGTTGCGACCCTTCTGCATCAGTTTGCCTTTCCTCAGACTGTGTCTGCCTCTTCGACCACCATTGGATAACCGACCTGCGCCACCACTCGTTCGGTACTGCACGGCCGTCACCAACAATTTTGCGTGCCGTCTCCGGCATAGTAAGCACATAGAACACCAAGTACCCTCCACTAACAATGACCAGGAACCAGAAGACACTGCGCCAGCCGAGGAATTTGGCCAAAAGACCACCGATAACAGGGCCCAGCGCAGGCGCAACCATAACACCTGCAGCCATAGGCCCGATATATTTCCCACGCTCTGCTGTTGTCGTAATGTCCGCTATAACACCATATCCAAAGGCCACGGTGCCGCTGCTCCCTGCGCTCTGGAGACAGCGGAGGACAATCAACGCCGCGAAACTGTTTTGTAACGCCAGTCCGATGTTAGCAGCGGTGTACACTGCGAACGCAATGACATATGCTGGACGTCTACCCCCGGTGTCGGCGAATGTGCCCATGAAGCTCGGGACTAGGCCTTGGAAGATCATATATGTTGTGACTGTCAGGTTGATCAGCTCGGGTGTAAGGTGGTAATTCCGTACCAATGTTGGCATGACCGGGTAGTAGATTTGACCGGAAAGTGGGGAGAAGAACGACGCAAGAGTCACCATCATCACGATGAATGACCTTTCGTATTTGCTGAATGCCGAAAATGATGGCTGGGAATTGTCCGGTGCTGTTTCTGTGCTCTCGATATGTGGCTCGGTAGCTGGCGAGCCTGAGTCTTCGGGTTGAATATGGTCGTTGTTGGCATCGCTGGGGGATGTATGTGTGGTTGGGGCTGCGACGGGTGCTTCATCAAACCCGCCATATCCACTATCGACTCGCCTTATATTGCGATCTACCGGGGTGTGCTGGAAGGGACCAGGTACTGTCACTGTCTTTCCCTCGCGAGTTCCTTCAGTCAGGTGCAGCTCCATGATGAATAGTGTGTAATAAGCCGGATAGAATGATAACAGGTGGATATGAGAGAGGTAGAGAGGAGAGAAGCAGCAAAGTACCGAATTATACTCCGTGACTCTTTCTTGAGTCGTACTTTCCCCAAAGTGTCGCACAACTACGTTCTATGGTTTATTGCAACCCATTCGGAACGGAGTAGCTAGGCTTCTTTTATACTATCCAAATTTATGTATCACTTTGCAAGGTGTACGGAACTATTTAGCATCCCAGAGAAAGTCTAGCACTAAATAAAAACCACTTTGTTATCATCTTTATCGGTCTTTTTTGAGGTCTTTTCCACGGTCCTTTAGAATGAATAATTACCCCCTGGTATTATAGCACTTATTTTTGTCACAAATGTACCACCGACCTCATTGACTTGCGAAACTCCATGCTCGGGGATCCTACTTCTGGGTGCCCTAATAGAAATATGCAGTACGATAGAACAGGTGTAATTTCACAGATAGTTATGTAATTCTCTAAGTCATTAAAATAATGCAAATACAATTGAATAATAACAACATTCACTTTTGAGAGGTTCGATCGCGAGTACGAGGTGCCTATGCGCCACTGTTGTGATATGAGGCTGGTGCAGATCAGAAATCAAGCCACACCATCGGAATAAATTCCCACATTGCCTATGTTGTATACGAAGAACCAAAATCGAAAATTAACTTGATCTACTCGTTGTATATATAAGCTTAGTTATTGGAGTCTAGGTTGTGCTTCAGTGTACTCATGTATAGCATCATTCATGTCTAATACGAGAGATTAAGGGAACCGGACTTGTGCACTAGCAAGGGGGATAGAATACAGATGAGACAGATAGTAAAAAGAGCAGAACAAAAGAAAAAGATCAGTGCTTGGGCGTTAGATAGTTAGTGCCCGCTAATTTCACAATGAACATAGGCAAACTAGGACATTATTCTCCTTATTTCCTCAAGACTTAATAACCACCAGCCATGATGACGCCGTAGTATCGACGGCTCATCTCTGCGGTCTGCAAAACGCGAGCGTCACCTGTCAAGGGCAGGCCCAGGACAGCGGAAGATTCAACGGACTGTAAAAAGACGGAAGTCAGTAATGAACGAAAGCAATATATCAGCGGAAAGGAGGGAGGGAACTAACATGAACATCTTCGTGTGTAATCCAGCCGGCGACAGCCCGGCTCATCTCCTTGAATGCAACACGCTCCTCCAGTCCTTCCAGACTGGATCCCTGGACACGATCGCCCATCGCAACAAGAGCGTTCACTAGGCGGTTCAGGCGAATTGGATCACGTCGGCCGCTGGTGGAGTTGACAAGGCGGAGGAAATCTTCATAAACGCCGCCGCCAGAAGACCAGCCGCGCATTTTACGCTCAGGCGCGTCACCGAAGCCGGAGACCAGAGTTTCGAGGGTACGGTAGTCGCCCTCGATGATGGTGCTTGGGCCGACGATGCGACAAAAGGTGGTGTGGGCATCGTTCCAGTGCTTGCCGCGAATAAGACAGTCTACCTCACGGGCAGAATCGCCGATGTCGCGAGCATACAGAGCCTTGGCAACCCAGATCCAGGCTTCGGGAAGCTGGAGATCAGTGATGAGATATTGCCATGCCAGGTCGGAGGAGCCGTCGGCAGCGAAGGGCTCGGGGAGTTGAGCGGCGAAGCGGGCGAGAGTTTCTTGGACAGCGCCCTTTCGGTCGTTACCTTGGGAGAGGTGCAGGAGGACAAACAATGCTTGATCAAGCTTTCCGCCTGCACTGAGTTCAGAAGCAAAATCCCGGACGAGTTGGTCAGTTTGGTGCTGGTTGATTTTGATGGCCTGGTTTTTTCCGACTACCGCAGCGAGAACGTGGTGTAGCTGGAAGGACAGTCGGTTGGAGAGACGGTCACCGGAGACGGATTCGGGAAGGAAAGATGCGGGGAATTCAACGGGTTGGGTGACGTGGCCTTGAATCGCCGAGAAGGCCTTGAGCAGAACCCAAAGAGGAGATTCGCGCCCAAGGGTGTCAGAGCCAGGCTGCGGGACTGCACGGGTACTAGCCTGGTGCGATGGGTGGGGGAAGGCGGGTTCTTGTCCGGTGGCCAAGTCCGCAAGGAACTTGGAGACAGCTACCTCGATTGGCTCATCTTCAGCCGTGCAATACCACAGACGAAGACCAAAGGCCTGGAACCAATCTAGGTCGAACCGCTCGGTGAAGCCAAAGCTGGAGGCCCGGTCTTCAAGCGCACCGCCCGATTTGCCTTCGCTGCGGAGAGCATTCCCAGCGACCAGTTCGTAAAGGGCTCGTATGGGTTCAGTCATCTCCGAGAGTATGTTGTTCTGACGCCACACATCGATTTGGTTCGCTATGTCGGCACGCGAGGTAGCATCGCGGCCAATCTGTGCGACTATAGTCGCCAGATGGGGATTTTGACTGTCAATCAGTGTCTTACAGGCTTCCTCCACTCGGTGCGAACAGATCAAATGAACGGCCCGTTCCACAGGGGAGCGAATTGCATCCAGGTTTTGGGAGTGCTTTTCACGAATGATTCCCTCCCAAAGACGAGTGAGTCGGTCCTTCCTGATCCGGTGCGCAAATTGCTGTCGTAGGCGCGGCGGTACCCCCGCTGAGATATCGTCCTCAATATCATCATTGAAAAGAATGTTGAGAAGCTGCCACACCAAGCGCTCTTCTTCCGACTGGGAACGGGTGGATGGTGACAGAGGGAACTGCGACAGGTCGATCCTGGCCATACGAACGAAAGGGGTGCCATCAATGCGCTGGATAGAGGACTGAAGCCGCTGGACATCAAGCATTTCCCTGACCTGTATCATCATTAGTATCCAGTTCAATAAACCAATAAAGCCACTAAACCTACCTCGCTAGATTGGTTGTATGTCATGACTGCAATATCACGGTCTTCGCTGAAAATGGAGAAGCTTTCTTTCCAGGTCTGGTTCACCCCTAGGATTGTGTCCCCCATATCATTTTTGACACAGATGAGGGAATCCATGGGACCCCAGCGGGGTTTGAAAGAGTCATGGAAAGCGGCATCGGATTCGCTCATTTGTGTTGTATCGCCAGCGAAGGTCTTGGGTTGCTTGTTGTAAGGCCACTAGAGGAAGAAAAATGGTTTTAGCTCAGGTTATCACATTTGTTAAACTATCTGAAAAGTGACGCGCAATTTCATAGATACATGATGCAGTGAGAAAAGGAAAAAAAGAAAGGGAATTATAATCAGTGTGAACATAAGAAGGGAGTTCTAACCTCAAAGCCCTTTGGCGTTGCTTTAGCCTTCAGCGGAGAAGGGGCGGCTTGCTTGCGCGGCTGCTGGAACAAAGAGTTCATAAGATCAATGCTGTTTGAGAAGCCTTTCTTCGGAGATGCTGTCGCAATGTTTGTGGGAGATTCATCGTTCACGAGGTTACGATCAATGAAAGCGCTTGCCTGCATTTCACGCAAGGCATCACGGTTCTGCTTGCGAGGGCTGATGGTACGCTGCAGCTGCTCGGCCCAGTCGCCACTAAGATCAAGCTGAGGCTTTGCGGGACTGCCGAAGTGTCTTGACATATGGTAAGTGGTATCCAGGTCACCATTGGTGCTCTGATAGTCGTTCCGCTCCACGGTGCGATGAGGAGTAGGAAAGGCACCGGCCATATCCATTTCATCTGCCTCATCTGATCCAACTACCGAATCGCCAGACTGTTGGCTCTCGGTGACGACGTCGTCGTCATTCTCAGTAGTCGAACCCGTGGAGCCTTCCTCTAAAAAAGACTCGGTTTCACCGTCAGAAAAATAATCATCCTCCACAGGCATGGCCTGGTTAGCGAAAGAGCCAGGAACAAGCTTGCGCTTTTTGAAGTCGAAAGTATCGTCTTCAACACCAATCATGGAACCGACGAAGGACTCATCGATAGAAAAGGTAGACTGATCGAAAGACGCGAGGTCGAAGTGAGCCCTGCTGGTAGCGTGGTCAGGGCCTTGGGCACTCATGGTGCTTTGGTCGTGACTCTCACCTTCCTCTTCATCGTAGTCAAGGCCATATGTAGTGAAATGAGGCACCTTGAAAACCCAGGTTCCAGTCTCAGTTTCGTAGTTAACGAACTCGGTATCGCCCACTTTCTGCAGACGATCAATGTGTTTGTCAAACAGAGGACCACTAGTGACAGGCGAGTTGCTCTTCTTATCTCTACCACGGGGCCAAGAGTTCTCAATCCGTAGGGTAGATGGCACGTTCAGTCCCTTGCCCCTGGCAGGCTTGACCGATTCCTCGGGGTAGACAGTAATCTTGCGAAGACCAATATCCACAATATTGGAGAAAAGATTGTCCAGATCAACGGTAGTCAGATCAACGGGGCCGTTGAAAGTAACAGAACCACAGTTCTGACGGCCAACGGTGAAGTCAACGACTTGTCTGAGCTGGTCGCGGCTCATCCTGCTAAGCTCGGCACGGGAAGGTTGCATCCAGTACTCACCAGGTCTTGGGTCACCACCGGGGATGAACGTAAGACGCTTAACAGTAGCACCGTTGGTGGTTTGCGGTGCACTTTCGGGGACAACGGCAAGGTCACGGCGGGCAGATTCGGCCTCGGGACGATCAGAAGTGCCGGCAGCATCGAAACCATTCAGGCTACCGCTCTTACGCACAGAGCGAAGGAACCCAAGCTCCTCAGCAGAGGGCTCGGAACTGTTAGGTTCAACGTGAACAAGTTCTCCGCCATTGACCCCGGAGGTATGAGAGTCGAAGCTGACCTTTTTCTTCAGCTTGTCGGAAGAATGGGCATCTTCTCCGTTAGTGAGCAGGGGGGCCGGGGTGTGAAGAGGGGCCGGGGCAATGCGAGAGGTCGAGAATATTTCATTTCTCAGACCACGGTTGATAGTGAGACGCTTCAGACTGCTGTTACCACGTACGCTGCCAGCCTGCAGGGCACCGGGAGAAAGAATGCTGTCCGCCTCTGGATCGAAGGTCTTGCGAAGGTTGCTAGTGGAGTAACTCTTGCTGAAGCTACGTCCAAT